TGTTTAGCTCTGTCTACATGGAAGTGCATTGAGATGTTTTCGCAGCGAGTCGCGGACTGCGCACCCCACTCGTTTTGGGTTTACTGAACATGTATGTGAAATGTATACTGGCTTGGCAGCATGCCTGCGGCACTGGGGGAGAGGTGGTGATGTGTAGCCACGGTAAGCGGATAGCAATCTGAGAGAGGAGAGGCGAACGGAGGGAGGTTGTAATTCAGTCTTTTGTCTGCGTACATAAGACATCCCACGACGGAATGTGGGTCGTAATAGGGTTGGATTATGCAAAATCACTTATGTAAACTCATTGTTTTTAGGTGCTACAAAAATACTCCAAATTAATCACCGTTATTTGGCTTAAAGATTTCAAGTCGGTCTAATTTCCCGGTCTGTGTTATGTGTGACATGGGGCTGCGTTCCATTTTTGTGGGTGGGCTTGCCGGTTTCCGTGTTGTGTATTGTTTAAGTTGTCGCTGGTGGCTGGCATGTTTTCTGTATTTGTGTTGAATGTTGCTTTATGGTTTTTAATTTGTGTGTCAAAGCTCTGACTGGTGTGAGTGAAAGCCTGCAGGTTCCTTTTTGTTTGTGTGTGAGAGAAGTTTTGGGCCGAAGTTCTGAAGCCTGAATGTGTGTCTCGGCCGAGATATCTGAATGGATGGAAGGTCCGAATGCATGATAATGTGTATGACCGAAACTTTGAGCCAGTCTGTTGTGTGTGACACCTGCTGATTCTAGGTTCTGTGTTGTCCCGGTCGGTCCTGGTCTGTTCCATTCTGTCTGTCTGTCTGTCTGTCTGTCTCTGTGTGTGTGTGTGTGTGTGTGTGTGTGTGTGTGTGTGTGTGTGTGTGTGTGTGTGTTTATGGGATATAGGAACAAAGGGTAAGAAGTGAAGAGACTGCGAAGTGTTAGTTTATTGCGGTGGGGGATTTGGTAAGGCTGCAATCAGATATGGAAAGAGTGTGAGAAGTTAGAAGAAAGGCGAATGGAAGAAGGAAATATTGGACAGGTGAGGAAGGAAAGGATAGACGGAGAGGAAAGAATGGCAGAAAGGGAGGCAGAGGAGACAGGTGGAGAAAAGAGAGAAGGCAATAGGAAGTTTTAAAGAAATGTTTGAGGAAGTGAGAAGGTATAGAACGTAGGGACAGAAATGTTTAGTTCTGAAATCTTTATTTTACATTTAATTTCTAAGATCTTTATGGTCAAAATTCTAATTAGAAATTAGCAAAAAGTTCGTGAGTGAGTGTGTGACAGACAGAAAGGAGGTGTGATGATTAGCTAAATACTATCTGAAAAAGTCATTGCTCTTATCTGCATGATAACTCTTACTAAACTAGTAAACAAAATGACTTACGTAGATAGAATGTTAAGGAAATACAGTTAAGCAGGGATAAATACATCCATCCTCTAACTCCTTCAGCTTCATCGGCTGAATGGTTGCCCAAATATGATGGAGATGATTCACGCGATTGCCTCAAGTTAAATTAGATATTCTGGTCTACAGGCCTTTTATTACTTTATTAAAATAAATAAATACCCTTTCTAAAAGATCATGTAGTTTATTAGAAAAAAACAAATCAAATAAATAAATACCCTTTCTAAAAGATCATGTAGTTTATTAGAAAAAACAAATCACGTAGGTTTTAGACCTAAGTAGCCCCCTAATCTTTTATGGATTTGACCCCAAGTTACAGAATTAGAAGGGAAAATTCATGATTTTGTGTTTTAAGAGGCACATAACCTTATAAATAGCTTATGCCATTTTAGCATGACAGATTCTTTTACCATTCCAGCACAGCTCTGGTTTTGTCAGACGGAAACAGATTAGCCGTGAAGCAGCTAATCTGGGTCCGAAGATACCTTTGCTCATGGACTAAGATTAAAAATACAACTTTGACTGAAGATGGTTTCAATTTCACATGTGGTAGGCTGTTCCTTTACTGGAATACAAACTTTAGACAGTTCTATATAGATAGTTTAAACAGCCCCAACTAAATATTTCAGCCTGGTGTATTAATTTCTTTTTAAACTAGTTAAGTAGACGTAATTTAATTTGAACATTCTGATTTTATGAGACCTATTGTTTAAAATTTCTAGTCTGATAGATGTAAGCTAGTGTTACCATGTTCTGTATTATTGTTTAGAGGTGGTGCAGTACATGAATGCTTTACAGTTTTCGTATCTCAGCATTTTATCATATGACTAAATCATGTTAAACTTGGTGTTCCTGCCATAAGCAGACCATACTCAGTTGACTGGTTTTACAGGAGGGTGTTTAGATCTTTACTGGTGTTACTGGGTTAATTTAATAACATGAAATGGTTAGGGAATCAGATCTCGGCCTTGGGGCAGGACTGGAGTCCCTGCGATCACGATGCAGTGAATACCGGTCAGAGGGAGATTGGCTCTCGCCTGAGTGAGACGACTCTCTCCTAGAGGAGTATGATGAATACCCCTTTTCTCTAAAAGAAACATGATGTCTATCACGACCAAGTCGTGGTGACTTAGGGTCCCCCTCACCAGCCGGTGGGGGGCTCTGAGCTCTGGCAAAACTCTGAGACCTGTTGGTAGGAAATCCTCGCCGCTTGAAGTTTTTATAGGGCTTCTAGACCTGTGATTTAGCACCAGGTCTGCGGTTATTACCTTTTCGAGTCCCTGATGTAGGTCCTTTGAATCGCAGTGTGGAGGGATCTGCCCCCACCGCGAGGACCGAAGGGGTGTCAATACACTTACTTGGTTCTTTGAACTGCCTGAAGCTACAACTAGCCATTTTCCTGAGTTTGTCCATGGAGTTGACTTCCAGGTCTACCGCACCCTTATAGGGGCCGTACTGAGGATGAAAATTATCAAGGAAAAGCTCTTTCAAACCTTTCTCATCTTCCATCCCCTTCTTACATTCTGAACCAAAGTACGCGTCAAAGAGGCATAGGTAGAAAGCTTGTGGGTCTTCAGAACGACCTTGTTTGACTGACAAAGCTAACTTTAAACCAGCTTCTTTAGCATTGTAAGTGTATTGTCTTTGAATTGCAGCTTCCAGCCGGGTGTAATCATTCGCAATCACATTTTGCTGGCGGTCAGTGAACGAACCCACGGAGTCAGAGGTTAACCTTATCAAAAAGATCTTGTCCTCGAGAGTCACTCCAGGACATCTCTGAAAATGATGGCGAAGGCCACTAAGGTACGCATCAACTGGGTATGAATTACCTGGTCGAGGATTGAATCTCTTGACGCTCCCAGACATCCTATTGATGTCAGCCGTGGTCACAGTGAGTGTGGTTGAGCTGGCTGGAAAGCTGGTACGAACATCGCGGCAGCAGGTGGGTATTGTTGAGCAGCAGGTAGGTATTGTTGAGCTTGCTGAGGAGCTGGTACCACCACCGCAACAGCATCGGCAGGTGCAGCAGGTGGGAGCAGTGGGGCTGGAGGCCCAAGTGGATGTGGTTAAGTCAGCTGGAGGGCTGGCACAACCACATCAACAGCAACGGCAGTGGGTGGAGCAGCAGGTGAGGGAGCAGGTGGAGCCGGGGGGAGTGAAGGGGTCACCCTTCTTTCTCCAGTGAGCTCAGAAATCTGTTTTTTTAAATCAGCAATTTCATTATCCCAGGCTCGTACATCATTCCTGGTTGCTATGAGATCAACCTTTAGACCATTTTTCTCATTCTCCAAAACAGCAACTCGACGTTCTGCTCTGATTTTCTTATCCAACAACACTGAATTCTCCTTTAGACCTTCATGCAGCTCTTTCCAGCAAGACTCCTCATCAGAAGTAGAATCGCTGGCTCCACCTCTTTGCATCTGCTCAGAAAGTGTGCGCATAGCGTCTTGTGTACTCACGTGACCTGTGACTTCCTTGTCCCAGAGATAAGCTAGAAGGATAGTAAACCGCCTCAGATTCTCCATGCGGGCTGCTGCTTTGACTTTCTCGCCCTCGTTGGGCAAATTATCCACGTGTTGCAGCAACATGTCTTAACAAGTCATCTGGCGTACGGTCCATCAAAGAGGTATCGTAGCCGCAAGCATCTAGAGCTGTAGTACCAACTGTCATCAGGAGAGAATTGATAATTATTCTCCCCACAGTGGGAAAACCAAGCTCCTCCTGATTAGACATCCTCAGTCAAACCAGATTACACCTAACACCAGAGTAAGGAGTAATGTACAAGAGATGCCACGGAATGGCATTAGAGCGCTAAGCAAACAATGCAGGAGGGGTAGTAGACGTCACTCGGTGATGTCACTCGTCACACACGGTGACACCATCCCAAAATGGCGGACGGGCCGTCGGTAGAGAACGCCTCTGCAAAATACACCCAAAACTGCCATGTCTGCCGCTAGATACCCTCGGCTCTCTTTATGTTTTTGCAAGGACGGATAATGGCGTTGCATATCTCTGTCCCGATGCAGACGGAGAAGTATAAATTAGGCTTAAGCCTATAGTAGCATAACTACAGAGATAACTCAGGATAACCCAGCTTTTAGACAGAGGCATGTTGGGGGTATAGGGCAAGGGACTTGTGCAAATCTGGGCTAACATCAGAATTTAACCATAGGCCCTATCAAATAAAAGTTTTAAGCCTAGTCTTAAGGTAGACAAGGTGTCTGCCTCATGGACTGAAGCTGGGAGTTGGCTCCACAAGAGAGGAGCCTGATAGCACAAAGATCTGCCTTCCATCCTGTTTTTAACTTATAAATAATAATAAACTGAACTGATATTTCTTTTCTGTGACAGACGAGTTGAAGAACATTTTCGTTTTCAGCTTGAATATGCAACTCAGTGACTGATCACATTGCTAAAAAAAAAGTTTTATATGTTTCTCAGTGAACAAGACATTTTATATTTTAAATGGACTTTGGGGTTTATGTTCTAAGCTTCTGACTGAAGACAATATTATTTAGTTTCAAACTTTTAATTCTTCCACAAGAGAATATGTTTTTAGTTCAGTTCAAAATATTATCATTTGGAAGATCCCAAAAAAACTTCAAATGGCCCAATGATCTGCTCAGGAGAATGAGAGTAAGTGAATATTCTTTATTTTTAGTGGAAGAAAGCACTTATTTTATGTGTCGATACAAAGCATTAAAAAAGGAATAAACGCAGGCAGGGACACAGGTCATTATTTAAACATGCAGAAACAGGTACAGACACTCATGCACTTTACTGGTTCTTGTCTTTATGACCACGTGTGAAATTAATGTGGTTTATGAGAAACAAGTACATTAAAACAATTTAACCCATAAACTATATTTTATTACAATTATTTAGACAATAATACACAATCAATAATCAGAGTAACCAACAATCTAAAATATCTCGGAAAAAGGACATAAAATGTAAAACATTATCTTTAAAAACTCCAGATCAGTTTTACATGTTTTTTAAAGTGATCAACAAGGAACAAATAAAACCCAAATACTCATTGTAGTGGTCCACCCATACAATACTACAGCCTGCATCAAGGTGCTCAAAAGTCACATTGTTTTAGAAACCTCTTCTACAACACACGGACACGCGCAGACACGCACACGCACACGCACACGCACGCACACGCACACGCACACACACACACACACAGACACAGACACAGACACAGACACAGACACAGACACACACACACACACACACACACACACACACACACACACACACACACACACACACACACACACACACACACACACACACACACACACACACACACAGACACACAGACACACACAGACACACAGACAGACAGACACACAGACAGACAGACACACAGACAGACAGACACACAGACAGACAGACACACAGACAGACAGACACACAGACAGAACATCAAACTGGTTGCTGTGTTGTAGGGAATGGTTTTGGCATTCCCGGGCCCTGAACAGGAGGTGGACAAGCCAGAGGATTTTCTTTTTCTAAATTCCAATAGTCCAGTTCTCCATACCTGAAACTGATGAGAATTTAAATTTAGTTTGAAATATATACAGGTTTGCTTACACATGAAAAGCTTTAAAAACCACATTCACTCATTTTTTCAATACAATTGCAGTGGTCTCTATGATAATGAATGTCTTGTGAGGTGATCTTTGTGGGAAAGAAGCTCTCACACTCCGGTTTCAGGAACTAAAAGGGAGTCAGAGCAGAAAGGAGCAGAACACAGCAGTATTTAGAGTCTGATGTCTTGATATTTGGTTAAAGGTTAATTCACTTTGACTAGGAATCACTTCGAGAAGCTTATCCATGCATTTAAAACATCTCGTTTAGACTGCTGCAATAGTCTTGTCTTGGGTATTAGTCATGGATGTATTGCTAGGCTGCAGCTAGTTCAGAATGCTGCAGCTCGTCTCCTGACTGGCACATGTAGGTTTGATCATATCATTCCAGGTCTTGTCTCTTTGCACTGGATCCCCGTTAAGTTATGTGTGCAGTTTAACATTTTGGTTTTAGCTTACAAATGTTTGAATGGACTTGCTCCTGGCTATTTATCTGAACTCCTCATACCATATGTTCCATCTCGTGGACTGCGGTCAGCTGACCAGTATACGTTGAGCGTACCTAGGGCAAGGCTACAGAAAAGAGGTTTTAGGTCTTTCTCTGTGACAGCACCGACTCTGTGGAATATGTTGCCTATCTCCATTAGGCTGCCATTTTTAAAAAGCTACTGAAAACTTACTTTTACTAAACAGCTTTTACTATTCCTTGATGACTTGGTAGTCCAGTTTTTTATTATTTCTTATGTCTGATATTTTATGTATTGTTTTTTGTATTTTATTGCTTTTACTTAACTGCTTATATGTTTTTATGTTTTTATATGTCTATGTTCAGCACTTTGGGCAACACTGCTGCATTTAAATGTGCAATAAAAATAAACATGATAGTTGGACATCTCTCCTCTGATTGGCTAACAGCAACTCGACTCTACCACTGACTCTGTTTGGTCTGCAACATTTGTTTTATCTCCACAAATAACAAAAGCCTGAAGGAGTTCTGCCGTGTTGTGAGTTGCTAATGCTAACGGTAGCTTCTACTAGCAGAGACACCCTCTGCTCTCTTCTGGACACTAAATCAATAATAGCCTTCCCCATCATTAGCCAAGATGGGTCCATAAATGCTAATTTTCAAAGTGGGGTGCAATCGTCAGGTTTTTTTCTAACCCAAGAGTTTTCCCATCTATTTTCTATAGAGCTCCGGGAGTTGACGTCACTTCTCCCGGCATGCAACAATTCAAATCGAAACGGTGCCATATTGGCAGGTAGAACCCTGCAGCTGGACTATTTGTTATTGTCAGAAAACTCAATCAGACAGGAAATATGGTAGATTCCTGTTGTGCCCCAGGATTCAGAACAGACACGGACGACATAAGGAATGAGCCATCTAAAGGATTCCCCAAGATCCGGAGCGCCGCAAACATTGGATCATTGTAATAAAGCGCGCTAGTGACCGGGCTAAAATGAAGCTGTGGGATCCCGAGAGTAAAGGTTTTCGCTTATGCAGCGACCACTTCATATCAGGTACTTAAACCAACGTTTCCTCAACTGTGTATGGTATTTATTTTAAATGCTTTTATTATGATTCTTAGTGGGCTTCCTAAACTTATTTTGGCGTGGCTTTTTCGGTCTTATTACTCACACCAACTAGTAAACATTACGTAAAACATTGCCTCGTGATTTCTGCGTGCTGCCGTTTCCGTGTTTTATGATCACAGCAATTAACCGGCTAAGCCGTATTTAATTTTTAAGCAATGGTTGATCAATTGTCAGATCGCACATAAAAAGCACTTTGGATTGCTATTATCTGTCTCACCGAGACAGATCTCAGACAGATCCTGAGACGCTCCTGCCTGACATTTATTTTATTCACGGAAAAAAATCAGACTAGTGATTTCTCTTGGCGTTCAGTTTATACATTCAAGCAGCACAGCACTCTATTTAAACTACATACGTGTAAATCTGTTATTTGTCCATCCATCCATCCATTTTCACCCGCTTATCCGGAGTCGGGTTGCGGGGGCAGTAGCGTCGAGAGGCCCAGACTTCCCTCTCCCCAGCCGCCTGAGCCAGCTCCTCCGGGGAAATCCCAAGGGGTTCCCCAGTAGCGGTTTTAGGCACGGGCAGACAGGGCAGTTGCCCGGGGCGGCATTTTTTCATGACACAAAAGGGGCGCACAAGCGCTGAGTAAAAAAAAAAAAAAGGGGAAATCTGCGCCACACCGAGGTTTTCTATTATCTGTCATATGACAGTGTCTGGATTGGAAACAGCAAGTTGGCGCCCCCTGCAGCTGCAGGCGCTCCTGCTGACTGAGAGGGTTCACGTGCACCGTGTGTCTATGAAGAACAGGAAGGGGAGGGGTGCGGCGGGGGATTCATCTCTGCGTCTTTCCCAAATGAAATGAGCGTGCAGGGGCTGAATCAACTGTATTAACATGGCTAAAGTCAATCACATCTTAACGTTCTTCCATATTTCATTCATAATATCATATGATATCAAGGTCAAATAGTTTAGTCCTGACTAAAGGAAACTTATTGAGTCAAGAGCCAAACAGAAGAGATGAACATAAAAAGGCTAAAACCACCAGGTGCCCCATTCAGGGGAAAAAAAAGAAAAAAGAGGAGAAAGATAAATGTATGTAGCTCTCATGATGCATGTTTTCAATTTTTTGAACCAGTTAACTGGGATTTTAACAGTTAAATGCGGTCAACTAATTGCTAACAGAGCTAGGGCTGAAATATTGAAACGAATATTCAAATGGTTCGAAAAAAGTCCTTGAATCGTTTTTTACTGATTCAAACTAGGATTTGTTAAATGCTCGCTGCAGCCTGTGGCCTGCCTGAACAACAACAAACACATGTTGATCATGCTCACATAATAATAAATAAAACAGCTCTACAAGCAGAAGAAAACTCCCCAGTCACCACTAACTTTCCTGTTTATTTATTGCAGATGGCTGCACTGATTATTTTTTACATGATTTGTTCTGTAAAAGTTGGCATTTTTGGTAGTCTACAGTTTTTTATGTCAGTTTAAATTACAATTTCAGAGGCAATTCTAAAATATTATGGATCATGAGATCTATTGGAGATCTACCCCAACTTTTGGACTGCTCTGCCAGTCACTGTGGCTCAAGCTGAGAGGAGCTTTTCAAAACTTGATCGAGTCATACCTGAGGTCACCTATGTTTCAGGGGCGGCTCACTAACCTGGCTCTGATTAGTATCAATCACTCAGTAGGGGAGCAGATTTCATATGATGACATTATTGATGACGTTGCATCAAGGTTAGGTTTTAATTTTAGTTTGTGTTTTCTGTTCTAAGTGCAGTGCTGTAGTGATTATCTTTATTATGTGTGAAACATTTTTGCTATTTAGAATATTATATATTATGTTCATATATTCTTAATATTTAGTTATTGTTTGTTTTTGTATATTTGATTCTATATATTTTGATACAGTATATGATGTATTTTGCTTTACATTCTTACAACTTCATAGTAATTAATGTAAATATGTGCAACTTAGAAAAATGAATGTTCAATAGTCGTTCTAATAAAACCTGCCTGTTTGTAGAAAACATGTGTGTTCGTGCAGGTGGGGTGGTGTTGTGGTGGTGGTGGTGGGGGGGGGGGGGGGGGCGGTTGGGGGGGGGTGCGCTCAAAAGGGTCCTCGCCCGGGGAGTAATTCGATGTAGAACCGCCACTGGGGTTCCCCGACCAGGTCCGGTAAGAAGTCCGCTCTGACAGCTTCTGGCATTTTTAATAAGTATCCCAGGGGCATGGTAAGGGTCGGAGATGTTTAGTCTATTTAATTTCTGACTATATAAAACGATTTCTTCGGTTTTAAAGTGTGAAGTAAACTCAGACGAAGTAAAATCCAAGCCGATCCCGTTCACGTTCATGTTTACGATCCATGTTTGTTTAGCTTCTTTTACCTGCCAATATGGCGTCTACTAACTGAGAGTCACGTGGGGTCCGGAGCTCTATTGGCAACTAAAGCAGGAAATAGAGGTAGAAGACTATTTTAACGTTTAGTCTACATGTGAGCCTCAGAGTGATGATCATATATATAAATAAATAGAAACATGGTTTCTTAGTGAACTTGGTCTTTAAAGCACATCTTAAAATTAAGAACCGAGAAAGAAAAAAAAGACTTCATACCCATTGGCTGGGACTGAGGTAGATGGTGGATTTGTAGGCTGCAGACAAAAACAGATAACCAAATAAACATCAAAGAAAAGAAACTATTTGTAAGTAAAGGCTAATCAGATTCCTGATGTATATTTACCCTCTCAGGTGGAACTTGAGGAGGAGGCTGGACTGTGGCATTGGTTTGACGGTTACCGTTGGATTGTGCATTTGCATTTCCATTTCCTGCATTGCGTGATCTGATGAAATGGGAAAAAAACACATTTTTATAAAGATATACAACAACCATAACTATTTTTAGAAATTAGTTATTTTTATACTTATGCGCTCTTTGTAGGCAGACATTCAAGGAATCTCTTTTAAACATGTAGAGGAGAACCAGAATGAGAAGAACAAGAAGAGGAACCACCAATAGGAAGAAGATCAACAGGCCGTTCCTGAGGGAGTAGTCTAAAGCAGAGAAGGTCACATAACCAAGAAGCATTACATTTATATTCGGACTTGAAGACAGCCAAACCAAGCCTAAACTTTTGCATAGCAGAATAAAGCACTCTGTGTGTCATCCACTCACAAGCTCTACAGTCAAAATACAAAGCAGGAGGGCTGAAGCACTCAGGTCAGTAAAAAAAATTTTTATTTGATGAAAACAAGAAACTGACATTTTGACACCATATGTGTCAATATACAAACCTAATCTCTAGAGAAAGTGTGTTCCTAAAGCCTATGGGCCGCTACTAAAAGTCCTGTCACCACTGAACTGACATTTTTTTAAGATTAAGATTAAGAAACTTTTATTGTCATACCAGGTCACATTTACATGCTTGTGATACGAAATTTGAACTCAGGACCCAGTATAAAGCCATAGAAAAAGAGCAAAAAGCACTAAGGATAAAAACAAGTACAGTGCTTGGCATGTACAGTATTCCATAGATAACTAAATATGATAAATGTGTGTGTGCAAGTGAAATTAGTTCACTCTAAAGGTGCTCTCAGAGATTATTTTCTCTGCACCACTGCACCAGATGTTCCACCTCCTCTCTGTACTCTGACTCATCGTTGTTAGTGATGCGTTCTACTACTGTTGTGTCATCTGCTAACTTCACGATATGGCAGCTGGGATGTCTCGCCGAGCAGTCATATGTCAGCAGAGTGAACAGGAGGGAGCTCAGCACACAGCCTTGGGGTGTGCCTGTGCTAAGGGTGATGGAAGAGGAGATGGTGTTGTGGATCCTGACAGTCTGGGGTCTGTCAGTCAAAAAGTCCAGCACCCAGTTCCCCATTATGGGGCTCAGTCCAAGAGTGGAGAGTTTCAGTACCAGAGTCCGTGGGATGATGGTGTTGAAGGCAGAGGAAAAATCCAAGAAAAGCAGACGGACGTATGAGTTCCTGCTCTCTAAGTGAGTGAGAGCTGTGTGGACCACTGATGAGATGGCATCATCAGTGGACCAGTTTTTCTTGTAAGTGTACTGGTTAGAGTCCGCAGTGACGTCGATGGAGTCTTTGATGTGAGCCATAACCAACCTCTCAAAGCACTTCATGACTACAGGGGTAAGAGCTATGGGTCTGTAGTCATTGAGACATTTCACTGTGAAGCACTTTGGGACCAGAACAATAGTGGCAGTCTTTAGGCAGGTGGGGACGGATGCAAGAGACAGTGAGGTGTTAAAAATGTCTGCCGGCACCTCAGACAGCTGGTGTGCACAGTCCCTCAGTACTCGCCCAGGGATGTTATCAGGGCCAGCAGCTTTGCGAGGGTTAATTCCTTTGAGGGTTTTAATTATGTTACCTGTAGACACACTAAGGGGCGTATCACCAGGTAATGGAGTGAGACTGATAGAGTGAGGGGGGTGTCAGGGTCCTCAAAGCGGGTGTAGAACCTATTGAGTGTATTTGGCAGAGATGGGTCATTTGGGCATTGTGCATCTTTGGTATTATAGTCTGTGATGCACTTTATTCCCTTCCACATGCTCCGGGTGTCATTGGAGGAGAAATGTCCCTGGATTTTCTGAGCGTATGTGGCTTTAGCTCTTGCTATGCCTACCGCCAGTTCTTTCCTTTCCACTCTCAGTGCTGATGTCTAACTTGCCCTGAATAATGCATCCCTGGCTTTCAGCAGACCTCTCACCTCAGCATTCAGCCAGGGTTTCTGTTTAGGGTAGCATGTTGTTGTCTTGGTAATGGTGACATCCTCAGTACATTTGGAGATGAATCCAAGGACCGAGGAGGTGTATTCCTCTAGGTCAACCTCTCCCTCTTTTGTTGCTGCTTGTCTGAAGACCTGCCAATCTGTGCACTGGAAGCAGTCCTGGAGCACAGGTGCTGCATCAGTGGGCCACACAATGACAGTCCTTTGTTGGCCCAATACTTCTCAGCAGAGGGCGACATGTTGGCGCCAGCAGGAGGAAGACGTGGTCAGAAAGGCCAAGTTGGGGGCGAGGAAGAGCTCTGTATGCGCCACGGATGTTAGTGTATACACAGTCCAGCGTGTTGTCTCCTCAAGTTGAAATGGTGACATGCTGGTAAAAACTTGGCAGAATGTCCGTCAGTTTCATGTGATTAAAGTCTCCTGCAACCACATAAAATGCCTCAGGATGGTTTGACTGCAGCGAGCTAATGGTGTCATATAGCTCCTGTTGCACTATCCTAGCATTAGCACTAGCGTTAGCACCCAGTGGGATGTAAACAGTGGTGACCAACACTGCTGTAAATTCTCTTGGCAAATAGTGCGGTCGGCATTTTACCGTCATTAGTTCTATTGCCTTGGAGCAGTAGCTTTTCACCAGCACACCGTTTTTTATTCCAACCTCCATTCACGTGAGCACACAGTCCACCTCCACTTGTTTTCCCCAACCTGTAGTCTCGGTCCGCTCGGAAATGGCTGGAAGCCATCGATCTGAAAGGCTGAATCTGGCATGTTGTTATTTAGCCAGGTTTCCGTGAGACAAAGAACAGCACAGCGCTTCATCTCTGTGTAAACACTCAGTCTCAGACGTAACAGATCCATCTTATTGTCCAGGGAACGGACATTTGCCAGGAACAAGGTAGGAATCGGTGGCTTCTTAGCCATTAATTGGGCCTGCGCACCTGCCCGTTTTCCCCTCTTCTGTTTCTTGGCACATTGTTTCCTTTTGCCTGCTGCTCCTCGCGCTCTGCTAAGCCACTCTGCGGTTCTCAGAAGCTGCAGTCTTCCAAGCATTGACTATAATCCCGGGTTTCCACCGGAGTCGTCAGCAGCACGTTACTGCAGCAGCACGTCTTGCTCGCGTAAGCTGCTGCTTGGCCCTTCCCACGAGACGCGAAGCAGCAGGGGAGCAGCTGTCACTGACCGAGCACGAAGTCACACGAGTGACTTCGTCAGTAAACACAAAAACAAGCAGGAGAAAATTACAACATGGTTTGTGTTTTATGTTCTGTCCGTTTTATAATCGCCAATACGGACCTGAAAAACAAAGGAGACCACTAGCTAGGTGATAACTTCTCACGGGAACGCACAGTTAGTAACCTTTTTTAAAAGTAAAGCAACCGGAAGGCAGTGCGTTCTTTATTCTGAAAATCTCAGTAGCTTCTCTCCATTTCTGCGTCAGATTTCCTGTCTTTCCTTCCCCAAAAATGTCGGACTTGACCCGTTTCAGAGGCGTTGCGCGTAGAAAATAGAACCGGCGCGTAAAGGCCGCGACATGCTGCTCCTGAGACGCGGCCGACTCGCGCTGCTGACGGCTGCCGACGGCTCCGGTGGAAAAGGTTCTGTTGACCACAGCGGTTCCCATCAGCAGCTATGACGTGCTGCTGCAGTAACGTGCTGCTGACGGCTCCCGTGGAAAGCCGGGGTAAGTTGTGGGATATTGTGATGGTCGAGCTTTTTCCGAAATCGATGAGTTCGACCGAGCTGTACTTTACACGCAGATCCATCACAGAATCAGCGCCAGCAATGGCCTCAGATTTGTTAAAAAGTAAGGCTTAGTTCCGGGAGCTTGAGAAGCCGCAGCATGACTGTGCGCCACCATCTTAGATAATCGCAAGACCGTGTAGAGACTTAAACGCCCATAAAAGTACCTTAAAATTGGATTCTAAAATGTACAGGCAACCAGTGCAGTGAATCCAAAACTGGAGAAATATCATTCTCATCCCAGTGAGTAGTTGTGCAGCCGCACTCTGCATCAACTGAAGACGAGAGAGTTGAGACATAGGGAACACCAAAGTAAAACAAATTACAGTAATCATGTCTTACTGTCATAAAAGTGTGAGTTACTGTCTCAAAATTTTGTTTTGATAATAAGTTCTTTAATTAGCAACGGTTCTCAGTTGATAAAATCAACACAACACCAGGGATGTGACATTAGGTTTCACAAAAGGGGCAAGCGGACCTAAGGTTAACCACACAGTTCCCAGACAAAGCACTAGGCCTAAAAACAACATCCTCCATCTTCTTTTCATTAAAATGAAGGAAGTTAGAGAACATCCATTGTCCAACCTCACAAAGACATTCTCATTGAGAATTCAGTGACTGATGGTAGCCTCTCAAAGGGGATGTACACCTGGGTATCACCTGCTAAGCAGTGAAAATGACACCCATGTTTCCTGAAAATCAGACCCCAAAATAACAGATACAACAAAATTAGCGGGCCTAAAACAAAAACTAGTATTCCTGTTGGACTGCCTACAGTTATTTAGCATCGGTACTCAAATTTTCATCACTTTTCATGCAAAACCTTTTTATAAACATTTGTTTTGTTGAACATGTGGAGTTAGCTTATAAGCCCAGTGAGCCAAAAAGCTCAATGAGTTAGACAGTGATTATTTATATGGTTAAATGGTTGAAATCTCCCTTTAACGTATTATCATGCCACTGTTTAGCAAACATGGCTGTGACTTTTGCTTACTGTATTCCAAAGAGGAAAAAGACAGAAGTTGTTCAAACTACCTATTTGAGCAGGACCGCTGTCAACACTACCACCCCATCCTGACCTATCACAGTAGGGTGGTGCCCAATTGTCAATGCAGTGGCAGTGTCCCAAATTATTACATACCTGTAAATAACAATGCAAAAGAAATGGTCAGAATGATCTTTATCTTTATCTGGTGGATAAATTGATAAAGAAACAAAAATAGACTTGTTTACTCCTCGTCCATTGCAGGTGCTTTGGGCGTCACAAGTCAAGTTGGGCAGAAGAGATGAAGCGTCCACACACTGAAAGTCCAGACAAGTCTAGAAAAGACAAAAAGGTCACCTATTCATTTTCACACTTTTTATTACCTATAGTAGTGGTCCTCAATTGGCGGCCCACAAGCCCTCTCTTTGTGGCCCCCAAACCCTGCGTGCACCCCCCACCCCCACCCCCGACGACCGACCGGGAGGTGTAGGATAGAGCTGAGGAAAATAATCAAATAATCAATGCATCGAGATGCGGCCATAAAAGATTCTGCATCATAGAGGAGTAGCCATAATCAATTATAGTGGAATGTGGTTTTGTTGTTATAACGGCAGCACCAGCATAGCATTCAAATCTGTCAGAGTGGTGTTCTCCACATTTACTGGGTAGGAAACTTTGGGCTGCCTTTATGTGGTACTGCAGGGCTGAGCGCTTGAGTTTAACCTGAGACCGATCCTGAACCGAGAGAGAGCGAGAGCGAGAGAGAGAGATTGTCTGCTCACACGAGAGGATCGGAGGACGCTCCTCCAAACACGTGTTAATATTTTCATATTTTCATTATTATTTCTCCTCGAAGTGCTCAGTCAGACCGAGTGTTGTGATGTCGGGAGGTGCGGTCTTGGGGAGGGAGCGGGGTCAGTGACGGCAGCTCTTATATTCAGGGACACGGAGAAGTTAAAAGGGAAGAGAAATAGAAGACAGACATGACACAAGCTTGTGTGTGATGTGCATTACAGCCAGCGATCCAAACAGCAGCACCACCCACCCCCCTGCCCTCTTGCTTCTGGGTCTTTTTTGCGAGTGGCTAATTGAGGAGCCCTGACCTATAGGCTCACCTTTCCTGCAGCACAAGGACTTCCAGGGTTGACGTAGGCTGGATCGAGCACATCTGTGCCGAGATTGAAGTCTGCATTAATGCAGCGGTATCCTTGAATTGTCTCGGTACTGATTTGGGCGTTAGGAAGATGGTTGTTCAAATCGACATTAGTGCACTGAACCTTTCCACACATGGAGTTTCTGAAACAAAGTCAATTTTTAATATTACAAATTAAATGAATGAAGCAAAAATGATAAAACATTTTTTTCACAAATACACATCAAATACAGCTGAAAAGGAGGCTATTACAAATGAGTTTTCCAGAGAGGTTGGAATCGTACATGTTTTATAGACTTTAATTGTATATTAGATAAATGTAAATAAACTATTAAAACGCAAAGCACTTACGCTACTTTACATGGGATGTATTGTCCAATGCTGGTGATTCCACAATTTCCAAAAACGTTTCCTTTTGTATTTTCATACTGAAAGCAAATATCTGCTGCCTTAGTTGCAGAATCTGTTGAACAAAAAGATGTTCTCTATTATGAACAAGTTTTTCTAAAGTGACAGATGGCTTTTAACGGTTGCATATTAGAGTAATCCAGAAAAGATTTTGTAAACAAAAGTACTAAAAAGAAATATTTCACAAAGTGGAAAAGTTTAGAACGTCAGAAATGATTTTAGTTCTTAAAAGCTGAACGTACCTGATCCAAACAGCTCTCTACATTGGTAGTCATATGTCTGGCAGCGACCTTCGTAGCAGTATGCTGCATTGTTTTCACAGGGAAGTCCATCCATGAGGTAGACATTACTGGGACAATATTCACTCGTGCCATTACAGTACTCAGGAAGATCACAGGCGTTGACAGAGCTTCTGCATGGTGTTCCAGCCACTTTCATCTACATTAATGGCAACAGTTCAAAACCAAAGTACATATGTCCATCCCTCTCAGCGCAAGATTGATCAAGTTTAAAGGAAACTCAAATGTTTTGTAGACCTGGCACTTGTCACAGCAGGCTCCTTGAGCACAACGGGATCCCCATGCCAGTTTGCAGGTAGCAGCATTACAGCATTCGTTCTTGCATTCCTTTATAAAATAAAACTGAGGTCACTTATAAAAGAAGAAACAGGTAGAAGAGGGGAAAAAACAAACAAGATGAATTACAAAGATATTTTGTTTTCTACAACTCTACCTCTGGTGGGCCACAGTCACACTCTTCTCCATTGTCCAGCCGGCCGTTGCCACACTCGGCGGTACCGATCACTTCTGCAGGGTTAGGCGGATTTCTCAGACACACCCCACTTCCACGGAAAATCAGTGACTCAAAGTCTTGTGAGCTGCACTCGCTAAATGTGGTGTAACCACTGTCAAGATATGGATTACAGATAATTAAGAAGTTAGCTTTACAAAATACTAATCTGTAGAAAATAGTAGATTGATTTTAATTGCCAAAACCAATTTAACTACTATACAGGTCCTTCTAAAAAATTAGCATATTGTGATAATTATTTTCTGTAATGTACTGATAAACATTAGACTTTCATATATATTAGATTCATTACACACAACTGAAGTAGTTCAAGCCTTTTATTGTTTCTAATATTGATGATTGTGGCATACAGCTCATGAAAACCCAAAATTCCTATCTAAAAAAATTAGCATATTTCATACGACCAATAAAAGTGTTTTTAATACAAAAAAAGTCAACCTCCAAATAATTATGTTCAGTTATGCACTCAATACTTGGTCGGGAATCCTTTTGAAGAAATTACTGCTTCAATGCGGCGTGGCATGGAGGCAATCAGCCTGTGGCACTGCTGAGGTGTTATGGAGGCCCAGGATGCTTCGATAGCGGCCTTAAGCTCATCCAGAGTGTTGGGTGTTGCGTCTCTCAACTTTCTCTTCACAATGTCCCACAGATTCTCTATGGGGTTCAGGTCAGGAGAGTTGGCAGGCCAGTTGAGCACAGTAATACCATGGTCAGTAAACCATTTACCAGTGGTTTTGGCACTGTGAGCAGGTGCCAGGTCGTGCAGAAAAATGAAATCTTCATCTCCATAAAGCTTTTCAGCAGATGGAAGCATGAAGTGCTCCAAAATCTCCTGATAGCTAGCTGCATTGACCCTGCCCTTGATAAAACACAGTGGACCAACACCAGCAGCTGACATGGCACCCCAGACCATCACTGACTCTGGGTACTTGACACTGGACTTCAGGCATTTTGGCATTTCCCTCTGCCCAGTCTTCCTTCAGACTCTGGCACCTTGATTTCTGAATGACATGCAAAATTTGCTTTCATCTGAAAAAAGTACTCTGGACCACTGAGCAACAGTCCAGTGTTGCTTCTCTGTAGCCCAGGTCCGGCACTTCTGCCTTTGTTTCTGGTTCAAAGTGGCTTGACCTGGGGACTGCGGCACCTGTAGCCCATTTCCTGCACATGCCTGTACACGGTGACTCTAGATGTTTCTACTCCAGACTCAGTCCACTGCTTCCGCAGGTCCCCCAAGGTCCTTCTCCACAATCTTCCTCAGGGTCCGGTCACCTCCTCTCGTTGTGCAGCGTTTTCTGCCACACTTTTTCCTTCCCACAGACTTCCCACTGAGGTGCCTTGATACAGCACTCTGGGAACAGCCTATTCATGCACAAATTTATTTCTGTGTCTTACCCTCTTGCTTGAGGGTGTCAGTGATGACCTTCTGGACAGCAGTCAGGTCGGCAGTCTTACCCATGATTGCAGTTTTGAGTAATGAACCAGGCTGAGAGTTTTTAAAAGCCTCAGGAATCTTTTGCAGGTGTTTAGAGTTAATTAGTTGATTCAGATGATTAGGTTAATAGCTCGTTAAGAGAATCTTTTCATGATATGCAAATTTTTTGAGATAGGAATTTTGGGTTTTCGTGAGCTGTATGCCAAAATCATCAATATTAGAAACAATAAAAGGCTTGAACTACTTCAGTTGTGTGTAATGAATCTAATATATATGAAAGTCTAATGTTTATCAGTACATTACAGTAAATAATTAACTTTATCACAATATGCTAATTTTTTAGAAGGACCCGTATAGTCCAGACCAATCAATATGCTTCTGTCAGTGTGCCCCAGGGGCAGCTGTGGCTACAGTGTAGCTCATCCCCACCAGGGTGTGAATGGATGAATTATATTTTAGCTACTTTTGCTGCATGGTAAAGGTGCATTCACAAACTGGAAAAAGAAGATTTCTTTCACTTTGGAAAAGGTTGATTATTAATTGGTCATGCTGATTATACTGTAGGCCAATTCTAATCACCAGACAATGTTTGGTGCACCTCTATGACAATATTCCTATTCGTATGCATGTGTCCATCACACATATTCACCCTGAGATGGTTGGATCAGATAGCTCTCAGTGTATTTGCTGAAGAAGGCTTTCAGCCACTAGCACATCAATATTTAACTATTATCTGCAACCCTGTCTTTTTTTTATATTTGCAGGTCAATAAGCATTTACTGCAGTCTTTAATACAACTGGTTCTAAATTAATTTTTTTTTTTTACCTGGCTGCTGCTGACATGATGCAGCTTTTTCCACTACAGGTACAGCGGTTGTCATCATGATTCATGCCCAGGTTATGGCCTAACTCGTGGGCCACCACAGTGGAGAAAAAATTCAAGTTGTCTGCACTGTACTGTAAAAGAAAAGCAGTAGTCTAAGTGTGAATGTTCATTGTGAGATCACACAGTTATGGCAAACAATTAGCAAACGATTTTGATGAGGCACCTTGTATGTTTTATACATTTGCAGTAGTCTTTAGTAGGAATGAATGCCTTGGAGTTGAGCTGAACACAACAGTATTTGGAGACGTATTTCCTGATATGTGGACATCACTCCTTAGATCAGATAATAGCAACGTGACTACCACTGACTTGCAACAAGAATGTTTCATCTCCATAAATAACACAAGCCTGGAGGAGTTCTGCTGTGTGGTGAATTTGCTAATGCTAACAGTTAGCTTTTACTAGTCGGGATTTTGTCTGTTGATTCTTGGACATCAGAACTACAACAGCCTTCCTTGTCGCGAGTCAAGATGGGTGAGTACATAAATGTTAAGTGACAGTGTGACGTAAATCTGTCAGGATTTTAACATCCTAGCGTTTCACCATCTAATATCGATCAGAAGCTAATGCAGGAGATAGGTGTAGGAGACTGTTTTCATGTTCAGCCTGCATGAAAAACTCAGAGTGACCCATTATAATCAGAAATCATTAAAAATATGTTTTCATGTGGTCCTTATCTTAACTCTCCATTACATGAATCCAACATTTGATCAGCAAAATGACATTTTATACTGCAACATTATTTATGTAATGAAAACAACATACAGGAGCAATGTGTGAAAAAAAAATATGGCCGTGTCCTTTTTCAGAGAATAAGATGAGTAGCAGGAAGAGTAGACATGTTCAGTTGGTCCACTACACAGAGAAATGCACACATTTTGTTAGCCATTTTGTTAATAGTAAAATCTGTAACTGACAATTTAAACAAGCCTTGTTTAGAAGAGTTGTACGAAGCGTTTTAGAGAATAAAAGAAACAGTGCAGGTTAGACTGCTCAATTTACATTTACTCAAATGAAAAACTTATGCTAAAAACTGCCTTTGTAAAGACAAGATCAAGTCAGAAATGTGTTGGGCACAATGCAAATTGTCACATTTGTTAAAAGCAAACATCTTTCAACAACAGTGGAGAGTGGATTGTGTGTTGATTGAGTTAACCCTGAAGCTAGAGTCAAATGTGAGGTGAGAAGCTGGGCTGCAATAGGTTCATGCAAGAAGTTGTAAGAAACCATTTTAGAAAGAAACAAGTTAAATTATTGCTGATAAGATCAAACTCCAAATGTCAACCTGATTTAAAGTCATACTATGCAACTTTTTCATATTTTTAAATAATTTTCTTGAGCCAGTATTGGTTTAAACAACCCTTTAAAACTTACTGACAAAAACTGAGCTGACATACCTGGCTCTGCAGTCTGCTTCCAGCTTGTTTCCTGCATGTTTTAGCTCATGAACACAGCTGATTAGTTAGATTTAGTTTTGAATCACTCCTGTAGACACTAATGAAGGCTGAGGAGACATTTCAGCAGCTAGATTAAGGTCTTGAAAAGATGAACGCACAGTAAAGAAGTTTCACTTTTGGTTCTACTAAACGGAGATGGTATAGAAATGTTATGTTTATTATTTCTTGATCATTAATCCTATTAACTGAATGTATTACTCTATGCCTGAAAGCATTCTCATTCATTCAGACACACCCACACATTCTTGTAACTTCACACACACACACACACACACACACACACACACACACACACACACACACACACACACACACACACACACACACACACACACACACACACACACACACACACACACACACACACACACACACACACACACACACACACACACACACACACACACACACACACACAGTCTTATCTCTTTGTTCTTGTATAAATAAACTCAGAGCGGCATCTCCTTGCAGCTTCTGAATCTCACATTGTGAGCAGATCTGCCCCAATTGCAATTCGGTAAACGTGTGTTTCATTGTCTCTCTTTTCTCTCCGACTGCAGGTATTAGGTGATTGATAAAATCCCTAACAGGAGACTAGTAGGTGCTAAAAGCAAGCAAAACTGCCACGTCTGCCTTTAAAGGATATTAAGAGCACTGAGCCCAAACAAATATGCATCAGCCTGAATAAAACTAAGTCCTGCTATTAACATTTTAAAACTCTGCTACTTTATTTTGTCCGATTGTTGAAAATATAATTTAACAGCAACCACATCTGTTTTGGTTTGTTTGAGATGGTATTCATCTGTCACAATCTGATTTTTAGGTCACTTTACTATTCTTTGAATAGTTGTTTCTAAAGACCTAAAAGAGCCAAAAGGATTTATGGAATGCAAAAAGAATAAAAGCGTAGTAATTGAGTGTTAACCAGACCGTGATCCAGTTGAGCCAGCTAGACTGGGATGTCATTCAGAACAGGTTGCAACGAGCAGCGTGGGTGAATGGAACCACCCAGTGAATAATGCATGTGGGATCAGTTTTCTTATGAAAGCTCATGCTCTCACCATGCACCATGGTTTCATTTGGATTTTAAGGTGAAAACAAAAGAGAACTTACTACATTAATCCCTCCAGAACTGGATACAGAGCAGACTGTGCCCACAAAGGCCATCCCTAACACACCACCCAGGTATGAACTGGTCCGACCACTGGTTGAACAAAAGATAAACCAGAACTGAGGCTTTGCATTTTCAGAACATACAAAAATTAAATGATCAAATCGGCCAACAGAAAACATGACTTACACAATAAGGTGAGCTGCGTCATTTTTGATTCTTGGCAACAGAACCGTCTTCCTCCACTGAACAAAGTTCCCCAGAACATCTCCGGCACCGCCATCCACACCAAAAGGATTACCGTCCTTAAAAATCTCCAGTCCCACCAGCACTACACGAATATTCAACTGCTTGTAGTACTATAACAGGAAGAAAAAAAAATTAGCTGAATCTGATTTAGACATTGTTTTAACTTAAAGTGTTTAATGGAAACCAAAATTAAGTAGAAGAATTTATTGAAAAATAAAGAATTTCTCATTTTAGAGAATGATCTTACTCCATCCATTAGATTGGCCAGTGCCACCATCTCGTCTCGTACTGCAGTCTCATTTCTTTTCTTATAATTATACTGTAAAACAAAATCCACACACTATGACCCAATCATTAAGAAGGGAACAATCTCAATGACTGGATGAGTTTGATCCAAGATTGTACATTTCAGAGATGTTTGAAATTATTCATTTTTGTGACAAAACATTTATTCTATTTTTATGTGGTATGTGAAGAGCATTTCAAGCAAAAAATGCCCCAGAAAAACATCTCAGATTGCACCTTCACCGTTTCCTCACTTTGACACTTCATGTAGGATAATCTAATGTAATGAACAACAAAGACAGAGTTGTATTATTTGCTGGAAGGAAAATAATTTTGAAGCCATTTAAGCCTGATGTATTAATAAGACCAAAACCAGTTTTACAGGTTTGTCCTAACAGAGGAAGCTGACACTTTTATTTTAAAGGGCACTGACAAACCCAAAGTGCTGCGAGTGCTAAAACAGGAATTCAAGCAAACAGGAAAGCTGGGCATAACAATCAGCAATTGTCCAGGTATGTGGTTAATAATAAAATGTACTACACGTTTTTACCAGCTTATTACAGTGATACATTATATGCTTTGGAATTGGAATAGAGTAAAAATCAGGGAAAAACTAAAACACTCGCTCAATGCGTAAGAGTTGGCAACCCTGTGCATATCCTGTTTCAACTGTGTCTGCTTCACTCCCGCCAGCCTCTGTTTACTGCTTGTGTGGCTATAGGGAGCCTAAGTCACTTGCAGAGGTGTGACCAAGTCACTGCTTTGCAAGTCACAAGTAAGTCACAAGTCTTTCCAGTCAAGTCTCGAGTCAAGTCCAAGTCAAAGACATCCAAGTCCAGTCCAAAGTCAATGATGTGTTAGTCCAAGTCAAGTGCAAGTCCTTAACTTTGAATTCTCGAGTCATATTCAAGTCATCTGTCCAACTTCAATTTAATGACAGTGATAACAAATACATTCCAGAAATAAAGCTTCTTAAAGCTTCATAAAATTTGCTCAAACAAGCAGAAAGTGCAACTGAAACTGATTATAAACCCAGTGCTGCCGCACTTAGCAGTAGATGTAACCCAAAATCAAGAATGATTTATGATTTTTGTCCATGTTGTGCCACTTTTGTGCTAAAATATCAAATATGCCCAAGTCATCATCAAGTCAACAGATGCAAGTCATTGGCGTTCAAGTCTGAGTCAAGTCGTTGGTCTTTATACATTTTATCAAGTCAAGTCAGAAGTCATTAAAATAATGTCATATCTGACTCGAGTCCAAGTCATGTGACTCGAGTCCACACCTCTGTCACTTCAGCATCATGGGTCCCCGGAACAAACAAAAAATGAATGCAAGTCAACAAGGCTAAAAACGCTCTTTTATAACCCGCTTAGCCTTAGGCCATGGATCACACATGTTGTACTGCTTTTAAATGAAAAATAATAATGGGTGTTTCGACCACGCCAGTCACGTTCTTTGAGATTTATTAGCTTGTAAAAGGTTGTGATTAGCATGACTACAAACTAGAAATCAGTATGTCGCATATGTGACGTCTCTACATAATCTCCTCTCCCCAAAGTAGCTGCTACTTACCAAATGACCAGATTTATGGTGGTTCTTTCCTCCTGTGGGAAGTTTGCTGAACTTACAGCCCTCTTCCCTCAGTTTTCTCCATGTCTGATTCGAAGACGTCACTTTCATGAAGCGCATTTGTAGTCCTGGACTTATTTTCACACAAAACCTAAAATATCGTTTCCCATCCATTTGAAAATAAGCGAGTTCTTGGTATCAAAATGTGTCTTTAACATTCACGGACATCATATGTGAAATCCATGGCACAAAACAAGCGGAATTAGAAAATAGTGTTTTTAGCCCCGTTGACTTACATTCTTTTTTTCGTTCTTCTGGGACCCATGATGCGGAAGTGACTTAGGCTCCCTATAAGCTAAACGGAAGAATGCTGACATGAAAAATGGCATGTCGCCACCTACTGCACCAGAGTGGAACAAACTTTATTTTAGAGGACGGTTATCTAATGTGCATGTAAACTAGGATAAAGACTCTCAGCTTATTACAATAAGATCGACCCGGATCAACTGAGATGTCAGATAGTGCTCATATAACCACCCCGAGAATGACGTAGATCTGTGAGGATTTTCAAATCATAGTTTCACAGTCTATTTTCAATCAGAAATGAATGAAGGAGACAGGTGAAAGAGACCATTTTCATGTTCAGCCTGCATGAAAAACTCAGAGTGACCCATTATAACCAGGGATAATCATTACAAAATGGTATTTCAGTGAACCACACCTTTAAAGGAAAAATAATAGGTGATGTAAAGATGATTATGAAGTTCAATCAGTGAATTTTTACATACACAACAAATACTTACTCTAAGATTGTCAACAACCAGTGCCAGCTCCACATAACTGGTTTGAGGTAAGTTGCGTTTTCTCTGTTGGAACAATGGAGTTAAAAAAAACAACCCAAAAACAACTGAAAATGTGTCAGTAAGAATTGAAGCCATTTTACATTTAAAAGAAATTTTTATATACATGTAACACTAACCCTCAAAAGGGAAGCCAATGATTTGTGAGGTTCAAAAGGTTCATGTGTTAGTGTTGACGTCTCTTCATCAACAACTCCGCAAGTAACGGGCTCAGACTGAGAGTCCTTCAGGAGGTACAGCAGATGCTCATTAGTGGTCGAGTCAGCTGCAGGTTCAAGTCCAAATGTCTGGTTTCCAAGGATGAGCACACCCCTGCAAAGGAGTGATATCAGTGGGTTATTCTTGTTTCATAGGAGGCCTGTGAAAATGTATTTAACTTAGCCATTAGCAGCTTTAAACACATTGTTTTTCATGATGTTTATTAAAATGCAACACTGTGCTAAAGTCTTATAACACTAATTTCTTTACAACTTGCTACATTCCTCTTTTAAACACCTTAATCTAACAGATTAAATGTCTCCCCAGTAGTGTCCACAGGAGTGATCCATCACTAAATTAAACACATCAGCTGTGTTTCTGATCTAAACATGCTGGAAGCAGACTGCAGCACCAGGTATGTCAGTCCAACAGACCGGATCAGCAACTCTGAAGCTGCAAGTAGAATATTCTGGCCACAGGTAATAAAAATAAAAATAAAAAGGTAAATGGCCTGTATTTGATACAGTGCCTTCTAGAGTCCTGGAACCCCCCAAGATGCTTTACAACACAGCCATCCATTCATTCATTCACTCTCTCTCACACACACACACACACACACACACACACACACACACACACACACACACACACACACACACACACACACACACACACACACACACACACACACACACACACACACACTCACTCTCTAACGGTGATCAGCTACATTGTAGCCCCAGCTACCCTGGGGCACACTGACAGAGGCAGGTCTCACTGGTCCCTCCAAACTCCACCAGTAGGCAAGGTGGGTTAAGGGTGTTGCCCATGGACACAACGACAGCAACGGACAGAGCGAGGCTCAAACCTGCTACCTTCTGATTACAAAACGAGTACTTAACTCCTGTACTGCTGTTGCCCCAGGGGCGATGGGCTGGGTGGCTTGTCATTACCCAGTAAAGGGTTATTTCAGCACATACTGGCTGAAGAAAATGAAATAAAATTTTGAAAAACTTGCATAGTGTCTCTTTAAGGTACAACCTTTGAAGACTACTTTGCATAAATAGAACTACATTGTTTTATTCAATATATTTAAAGAAATGTGGCTTGTTCACCCTTTTACACATTTTTGCATATCTCCAAACCGTATGTATTTTTAATACAATAATGAGAAATGTAAGCAAAATGACACATAAGGCTCTTCTAATTAATTTTCTAGATCACAGAGAATGAATCAGGAACTCAAAATGAATCTACCCTACAAACTGCACTACACAAAACAACACATCTAAGAAAAATAAAAGTTTAAACCTGAGGCCTGAGCACGTGCTGAGAGCAACCACAGAGTGTGCATACCCATCTACCTTCCCATGGTAATAGCAATGCACCTGAGGAAAAAAGCAGAATGAAGTTGAAGAGTTTATTTCAACCACCCTTATTGACCAAAACTAACTAAAATAGACTTACATCCTGTTTTGGATACAATACAGTGTAGTTACCACTGGCACCACTTGAATACTGGACAAAGTTGGGGTGAATAAAATCTCTGGGAAAAAGAGCAAATGATGATATGTTACTCATCAATAGTATTGTCAGCATGACAACTGTCCCATTCATTGGGGGGGGGGGGGGGGGGGGGGTGTCCTCCCCACTTTTTTCCAAAGTCAATTTTTGTCCCCTGCACTTTTTACTGTCCAAAAACAATATTATGCTAAATAATAGGCACTAGTTGAGCACTAGGACCAAGACATCAGCTAGAATCTGATGTAAATGAGCTCTATTGATCAGATAGGGGAGACCGGGGATGGTTGTAACAGTTTTGACATTTCTATCTGTAGCTTGGAACTCCTTTAAGTTTGAAAATTCAAAATGTGAAACAAACTAGCTACATGTGTCAGTTACTAAATGGTGTAGATGTTGTTTCTGCAGAACATACAGAAATCCTGTGGCTTTGTCTGAAACACAAGGAGTAAAATGTTACAACTCACCCCATAGTCTGGGTCAGTTGTTACATACGGGTGAGAAGTAACAATATAAAAAAATGATTCTCACAATAGCTTGACAGTCAAAGCATATTTTATTCTTCACTTAAGTGCCTTTTAACTGTGTGTGTGTGTGTGTGTGTGTGTGTGTGTGTGTGTGTGTGTGTGTGTGTGTGTGTGTGTGTGTGTGTGTGTGTGTGTGTGTGTGTGTGTTAGGGGTTGCATCAACTAGTCGACAAGTCGACTTCACTGCTCTGTAGTGACTTTTTATGACTTTCATAGACTAGTCGCTGTCACGTGATAATGACAGACAAGATGCAGTCCTCAGAAAAGACAGCAGGTGACGAGCTCCTGCGTGTTGGGAGGCGACGCTCTGTGCCAGAGCGTCCACGGTAAAACGGACATTTGACCGAATTGTGACCTTACTCTCTTGCAATTTAACCTTCCCCTCACCCCCATCCTAACCTTAACCAGCTTGCGCATGCAAAGCTCTGATTGTTGACACGCCCCAGACATCTGCGTCCTGAGCACGGCCACAGTAACATTATCAAATCAGGTATTGCTACCTCAAAAACTAATTTAACACGTGATCGTTCATTTCGGCTCTTTTCCTTTTATGTTTTCTGTCTTTTATTTGTGCCTGATGCGTTTCGCTGCGGGGGAGCGGAGCGCATCACCTGTTTTGTCCTCCGCTGATGCACCTCACCGGTGCGGCCAGCGCACACTCCGCTGTTTTTGCAGTCGGTAGATCTTTTAGAACTGCAGTTCAAAGGTAACTCATAAGGTGAATATATATGAACCCAGGTAGCAGTTTTTCTTTAGGATTGAGAGGAGATGCAGGAAGATGATAAACAGGCAGGACAGAAAAATAGTCAAATAAAAACAAGTTAGTTTTTGTACCTGGTGGTTGCAACAAACAGACACCATTGAAGGTAATCAGAAGTGAGGAACAGAAAATGAAATAATTATTTTAATGTTTAGAGCAACAGGAACTCCGAGAGGCTGCAGACGCATCAGTGAGTTTGCGGCCGCCGTGCAGGGGGAGGGGGGAGAGGGCTGAAGCAAAATGCAGAAACTACCATTATTAAAAGAGATGTGTGTTAACTTAGAAAATGTGGGCGCAGTTTTAATTGTCAAACCCCCCCCCCCCCCATGCTTCTAAAAAAAAGGCTTGGTCACCACTCATCGTCAGTTTTAGCCGCTTCGGGTGTATGATGTCATCAACGACTAGTCGAAGTCGACTCAGTTTTCATTACTTGATGGTTGACTTTAAAAAAATGAAGTTATGCAGCCCATAGTGTGTGTGTGTGTGAGACAGAGAGAGGAACAGTGAAGCATGTGTGGCACTTGAACATTGTTCTAATATTTAACAGAATGTGCAAGATTCACCAAACGAACTGAACTGAAATATCTGACAACTGCAAGGTACAGCATCGATCATCAGGCATTTGGCTCACCTGGAGTTCATGTCTGCTGAGCTCACATGTAGATCTACTAACATTTTAACAAAACAATAAAACTGAGTTAAATGTGCTATTGTGCACCAGCTTCAACAACTGAATATTTGATTTTCAAGTTCTAATTCACTATCGGTGTCACAGTGGTGACCCCTGGAGTGCAGGCTTCATGGGCCCACAGATGACATGTCATACACTTAACCCAAGCTTCTTTTGGTTTGAAGTCACTGAAATTTTCCATGCACACAATTCATATGTTCTCATCAGCATCTGAGGAATACGTGTCCTCTAGTTTCATGATTTTTTTTCTTCTGATTTTTCTTTCTGGACGCTTTCTTAGAGCTCATATGTATTTGTTGGTTTGGTTGGGTGTTTTTGTCTTATTATTTGTGCAAATACCAAACTTTTTTGCCACTGTTCTGATAGACTTTCCCTGACTTTTCACATCATTGGATGCTTTCTCGAGAATGCAGAGAGGCACCCATTGGTCAGTCTTCCTTTTCCAATTTGTGGGCATGCTGAAATTCAAATAACCCAGAACCCTGTAGTCATCAACTAGCTTACATTACAGCTAACAGATAAAACATTAGCACCAACAACTAGCATAGAATATTACTCCATAAACACACAATAAACACGATTTAAGTTTAATGGATTTAACTACAAAGAAGACAATGCTATAACAAAAAACTACAAAGTTCAAAAAATGTACTTTTTGTCATCAAAATGTCATTTCTGCTCCTAAATTTTGTTGTGTGTGCTGCAGGTCACTCTTTTCTTTCCCCATGAGGCATAAAAACCGCACTGAGCACGGCCAGAGTGAATCACATGGTTTGTAAATGGTTCCTGATTGTAGATATCAGGTGTTACAACTGACCCGTGTTACAACCATCCCAGGTCTGTGAAATGGTGACAATGAATAGGAATGAAAATGACAAAGGGTGAAAAACAAAGTTGATTTGAAAGCATTAGTTTTTTGTTTTACTGCCACCTGTGTGCCTCACAGTTCTGCATTCCTGACATTGCATAAAAGATCCTCTAGGTTGTAGCTTTATACCCCCCCCCCCTCCCCCTTCTAAAGTCAAAACTAGGTCCATGGTCCCATTTACCTGTTTCTCTCAAGATGAAGGATGTGTTCAGCGTTGTTTATGATGAGTTTGTACAATACGATATCTCCATACTTCTAAAAGTACACAAAAGATACAACAAACTCTTTAAATATTAGAAATACAAATCTGAAATAAATATGAATGAACTGATCTACCTCTTGAGAGCTTATCTGGCTGTTGATGCTCCTACTCCACCTGTGAACCACCTGGGGTCTTACAATAGAGTATTTAGAAGGTCTTGATCCAAATCCATTGAAATCTAAAAAGTAAACGGAGATGTATTATATTGGGGGTTCCTCGCGGAGTAACCCGGTATTCACGGTGAAGTAACGCAAGAACTCATCCGGTAAAATAAAGAATTGGGCATCTTATTTAGCTGTGTGTCTTTACATCTAACTCAATGTATGAAGCTCACGAACAAAACAGTGCTAATAAGCAGACGGACGGATAGAAAGAAAGAAACTCAACCTAAACAATGTCTGTCGGCGTAAGGGATGATAATGCGGGTTTCCTGGATTCTATACCGACAAACAGCACCGCACTAGAAGCCTTACCGTTGTTTTCGATCCCAGAAATACATGTCCAAAACAAAACATACAACCGAAAGTGTGTTCTGGTCATAATCATCGTTAGAATAGAGCGACCCCCGAGCTCGCTCCCGATAAACAGGTAGCATAACAACTTCTGTGCAGGTATGGGCGTGGCTAAGACAGGTGAGCTGATTTCAGAAAAGAATGAGGAAAAGTCAAACAATAAAGAATTTCAATAAGTTTACGGAGATCAACGTTTTGATAAATTTGATGATGAAAATATGAAACCTTACTTTTGATAATATCCTTTACACTTTCATTAACAGTAGAGCTACAAATCCACATTTTATTCGAAAAATTACATTTTTACGAAGACAATCCTGAAGGGCAACTGGACCGTGATGTTATGTGTCAAAAAATAGTCACTGCAGCAGATCTTTTCATTCAAAGTTTCTGCTGAATGTCGTGAAGTGTGTGAGATGTACAACCCGGAGATCTGGCCAGAGGGTAATGTACAGAGATGATTTGAACCATAAGGGTGGAACCTTAGGGTCACCCCTGGTGGTTTGGTGAATGAGTCACAGGCAGCCCCAGGATACAGCAGCTTAACTCTGGATAAATGAGTCTAAAGGCTATTTCTTACAACTGTGGCCTGAGGCTGGGCCAGAGTGCAGATGGCAGGAGTCGCAGATTTGTTTTGGACAATGCTGGATCAGTGTGTGCCAGAAACCTTTTTAATGAAGCAGGATCTAAAAGGTCTAAATTCCATTAATAACACATCTCATGGGGCTGGAGAGTCGACTACTGCCCTGGAGATGGAATAATAATAATGGGGAGACATGGTGCAATACTTTGGGACAAGAAATTGGACCCGTACATAAATGTGATGGGGCTAGGTGTGGACTGGTGTATAGCAAAACACATTAAACAAAATGAGAAGGAATTTGTTATCCTGAACGTGTATATTTGAGTGCCTTAATAATGAAGCTGATTTTCTTAACTTGCTGTTATTATTAACAGTTTCATAAAAGATAATGTTTCAAATGTGTGTTTTTGGTGATATGATATTTCCGGATGGAAACTCAGTCTTTGCCAAACACCTGAAACAACTCTGTGAAGATAGTGCCTTACTGCTGTCAACTGAAGTTTGTTAACCTGCAGATAGCTACACTTTTATTAGTGAAGCACGCACACAGCTTCATGGTTGGATCCCTGTGTCTCAACAGCTGATGCTCACATCTCCCTGTCAGACGTGAGCATCTTATATGAGCTGTCTAGCTCTGATCACACCCCATTTGGGTTCAAAGTAAATCTGGAGTGTGTGCTCATGTCTGATGAACATGACAGTGAAAGGTACGGACTGACCTACTCTCTTAAATTATCCGCTGTTTACTGAGAAACTTTTTGAGTGGCATTTTCCTGCCCAGGGTAGCAGTCACCTGTAGAAAATCTGACTAAAGATCCAGAACACATCAGTAGTAGGCAACTTGTATGGTGACATAGTGAATGCTCTACCTAAGGCTAGCATTCCCTTTCACAGACAAACCAAAGATAAGACCAGGCTGGAGGATCATGTGCTTGTCTGGAAAGGAGTGAGACATAGGAAGGAAAACACCCACACCCTGAGTGGAGCTGAAAATATCTTAAAGCTGTGGAGACAACATTATTAGGACTTGTTTAATTGTGCACCAAGTGAATCGTACAAAATGGGCAAAACTGAAAGTGTAGATGAAATCAAGTGGTCTATCAAGCTATTATTAAACTACCTAATAATAAAGCCACTGGGTTGGATGGCATATCTGCTGAACACCTAAAGTATGTTAGCGGCAGATTAGCACCACTCCTTGCTATATGCGCTTCACCTTTTCTTGCTCATGTTTGACTGATTCAATGTTAACTGTTCTGTTGGTCCCAGTGATGAAAGACAAGAGTGGGAGACGGTAGCCTGGATAACTATAGGCCCCTTACTTTGGCTACCATATTCTCTAAAGCCTCGAAAATAATTCTGCTGGACAGAATTTATGACACCTTAAAAATCACAGATAATCAGTTTAACTTCATCCCAGAGCCATTTAAGGTCAGTAATGGAGTCAGCATTCTATCTCCTCTTCTTTTTAACTACATGGATGACTTCTCTTACTCTGTGATTAGTGTCACCAAGAAAGTCAAATATCTTGGTGATATTATCACAGAGGACATGAGAGATGATGACGACGTGTACAGGCAGTGCCGTATGTTATTTGCTCGGGGAAATACACTGGCTGGTGAGTTTGGGTCTTGTTCTGATAAAGTAAAGATAACTTTGTTTAAGGCTTATTGTACACTGTTGTACACGGCCCACCTATGGACTAACTATAAGAAGTGTAGTATCCGTGGGCTGCAGGTTGCCTATAATGATGCTCTGCGTTTGATACTGAGGAAGCCTAGATAGACGAGTGTAAGGGAGACTTTTGTAAATGTGAGGGTGAACACCCTACAAGCTACCTTAAGAAATTGTATTTACAAATGTAGTTATAGGCTGAACAATTCTAAAAATGTGATTAATTTAAATGTAACCAACACCTGTGTCAGTGCAATACGCTACCAGACAAAGATGTGGAAACACTGGAATAGTCTTTTCTTTTTTAGATAAGGTAGGATAGTTACTATAATTTATACTTTATTTTCACACTACTTTTATTATAGTTTCTTGTTTCTGCTTTCATGATTATTTGTCTCTTGTGTTTTAATGTGTCACATTGTGCTCATTTCGTTTTATCTTATCTGTACAATGTTTTTCTACTTCTGTCAATTGGACTGAGTCCTGAATAAAGAATACGTGACTTGACAGTTCGTTTGTGCTTGTCAATTATCGCGTTGTTTCAACACCTCTGACGTCACGAGGTGTGTTGTTTTGGTGTCTAGCATGAAAAGTTTGTGCTGAACATTTCCTTAACAAACACCATCTGAACAGGATGTTAATCGCTTAGTTTTAGAAACTTTGGCAACAAAGACGTTCACTTTTTATGACATTTCACAGCTACTAGCCTTTTATTATTGTTTTGGGGATTTTTTAACATCTCGGTGTTGTCTAAAGCTTGTTAGCTAGCTAGCAAGTGAAGTGGTGACGCTACAGAATAATGCTCAAAATTCGCTTGCTGTGTTTTATTTAAGTCGTTTAATGATTTAGGATGCGTCATTTATGGCTTCATACCTTCTTTGGAGACTCACTTGCTTCTTGATAAAAGAACTTTCTGAAAAGCAGGTCTGCACACACAACACTTTGATTTTGTGGTCTGCTCAAGCTGTGCTGTAAGTACTCCTTTATTTATATCTTCCTGTTTTATATAAGTATGCCGTATTTCCATTGGACTTTTCTTTTACAGAGTCACTGCACTGATAGGTGCACCATCATCAAAGAGAAAAAATGTTGTAATAAATATCTCATCACAGCTTTCATCTATCAACAAAGGTGCTTTGGCCAGACAGTTATAATCAAACTGAATACACACATCCACAAATTCATGAAGCCTTTTCTGTTCTTTAGGTCTGTATTTGTGTTTTCATACCAACGGTATTCAGATCACAGCTCAAAAGAAAGCAAAAACAAAGATGGATGCACAACCAAAAAACAGAGATGAAAGGACAAAAGGTTACTTCAAAAAAACCGCCCTCAGACAACAGAAGTGTCCAAATACTCTTGAACGATGGTTGGTTCGGCCTTTAAAAATTTCAAATGTCACAGAAGAGAGCTCAAGCCAGGAGGGTGTGGGAATGGCTGAAGATGTTGGGTTTCAAATCAGTCCAACCTTATCTCTGGATGAGAAAGATGCAGAGAAGTTGTCAATTTCTGATATAGATGAAGAAACTCAACCATTAACACCACAGAACTTGGATCACCCCCAGCCCCAGTCAGCAGCTGCTACAGTTAGTGGATTTTCACAGAAAAACTCTCACGATGAAGAAGAGTTGGAGAAGCAAGCAGCTTCAAGCTCAGAGGGCTCTGCCAAAAAAAGAATTAAAATAACAGACTTCTTTTCTTGGCCCTCGTCACAACGTTTACCTGTCAAGCGGCGTTGGCCAGATGTTTCTTCAGAGGAAGCAGATCGAGGCAAGAAAATAAAACCTGCCCATGTAAAATGGATGGGGACACCCATCAGTGAGCTCAACAGAATACCAGAATGTGGTGGAACCCTTCCTCCACTGAATGGTATTCCTGGTCAACACACTGTCCTGATAAGGGTTTGTGCTCTTCTTTTTCCCCCTTTATGCACATCAAACTACAGATTTATACAGATAAATAATAACCTCACGGATTATTAATTTAATTTAATCACGTCAGTAATAATAATTTCCGTTTCAGATGAAGTCACATTGTTTTATGTGTGCTTTATTGACTCTAGGATTATTTAGATTTCACATAAGTGCTGTGTGTACCAATAATGTTTTGAATATTTTTGTTGACAGACAGACCTTCTTAAAAAGGATGAAGTTCCTGTTCCATATCCTTCTAAGTTTATTGATATCTGGGACAATATCCATGTCAAGATGCCATGCTCTAGCAAAAACACTATTCCTGTTGAAGATCAGGTGATTGTTCAGGTGATTTCTACATCTGTTGCTCTAGTTAGTGAAAAATGTATGCTGTATTGAAAAAATAACATAACTGCTTTCAATTAAACAATTTCTTGTTTAATTTTGGCCACTTAAACATTTTCAGTGCCTATTTTTACTTTGTATAATCATCTATGATCATTATCCCTAATAATCATAGCAAGTCTAATGTGGTTTATATATTTCCATTTGAAATTATATTTTTTAAACAGTAGCTATAGGAATTATGTAATATTGTATTTGTGTTTAACCCTTTAAGCCCTAGGCCTATTTTGAAGCCTATTGAAACTAATGTTACAGTGTCCCCCACCTGGGGGACCCTAGGGCTTTAAGGGTTAAGAAAAACCGTTGGGACGGGGGCAAATGCAGAGCACAGTCTCAGCCATGTTGTTTCATTGCTGAACTGTTACAATGTGTGTTTCTACAGGAACCTCAACATTTGGAAAGTAAGAGTCAGTGGGAGCAGATCAAGAAAACTTTAACCAAGAAACCAACAAATGTAGATGAGTTGACGGTTAGAAATTTTTAAAGATACATATTTTATTCACATTTGTATGTTTTTTTTTTTTTTTTTTACTTTAAATGCTTTTTAAAAAAGTAAATTGTGGTTGTGTAGATAGCCATCTAGAAACAAATCAATTGTGGTTGTTGTTACCAGAAAATTCCATAAGGTGGTGACATAAGATAACAATCAGGAAGGCCCACAGCCTCCGAATGTAGATATTTGTGATGGCTGTTTTATACAGGTGTACATTGTTTTTCTATAATGGCTCATTGTTATTTTACATGGAGATTTTAAATTTTCTTTTCTTACAGAAGGCCATACTAAAGCATTCTGCTTTCCAAGCCAAAAACGGGGACACAGCAGCTTTGCATTCATATTGCACTAAGGTAAATATTATATTTTAAAATGACTAAATACAGATTCACTTTTATAAAGAGAATACATTTAATTTTTTTCAGAAACAGAATATCTGCTAAGAAGTTTCTGTGCATGCAGCCATGAAAACACTACTTGGTACAAATGTAGAATATATTGCATCAGGTGTCAAGTAATAACTCCTACTAGTCGCAGAAAGTAATCATAACTATGCAGGGTGTATTTTTGTTTTTACAAATACTGTTTTTATGTTGTAATAAGGGATGCTCCAATCTGATCACGTGATCAGAAATCATGACCGAACACTTGATTTTGAACAGATTGGAATTGGGTGGGAAAAATCGGATTTAACCATACAAAAACAACAAACATTACTTTTTAAATTCATCCTGAGAAAGAGATTTTCAAACGGAATAACAACGGCTTAGTTTTAGATTCAACAAGTTCCTCTGCATCATTGTTCTTTGTTCCACAGACAACAACGCAGTAGAGCCCCGTAGTTTAAGGTAGCTCGGGAATTCAGACGCCATAACACCTAGCTGTTAGCTAACAGGCTAACACAGATGATACTTGTCGCCTCAAGATAGACAAAATGTCTGTAATTTTGATGTACTTTTAAATGAACAGTAAAGGAAGTGTAATAAACACATGTAATGTGTTAAAACTGCACGTTTAACGAGGAGGAAAAGGTAGGGCTGCGTTCAACACTAGAAATCTTATGCGCCACCTAAAAAAGCGAACCCTGCTGTGCTGAGTTTGCTGCAACAATTCAGCTAAGCCAGCCGACACAAATAAAATATGTTAAGAAAAAACAAATTGTCTATGGACAGCGAAATTTCCAAGATAGCAGTATATTTATCACACTGGATGAACGTCTGTGGTTGCATACTTCGGGTTCTGCAGTCTCCTTGAGTCGCGGTATGATCTGCTTTCTCTTCCTAACTTTACAGACACAGCAGCACTACAGGTGTTTTGTAAAATATAGTGACCCTGCTGCTGACCATTATGTGCTGTGCCATCCTTGTCGCTGAAAACAGCGACACACTGAGTAAATTATTTGAAATATGAGCGACAAGGCTACTTTTACACATATTCTCAACATTATCATGTTTCTTATTAATGTACTTCCTAAACAAGTGATGTTTTATGGCAGATAAACTAGAGAAATGACAAACACAGAAAGAAAGAAATGCATAAATGAGTAAAAAAAAGTTAATGGACAAATCAAGTGCGTTCTCCCTTTTTTTAAATGCATTTCTAAAATATCGGATCGGGCCTCGGTATCGGCAGATTCTTAAAATCAAATGACTAGGAATCGAATCTGGAGCAAAAAAACGTGATTGGAACATCCTTAGTTGTAATTCTATTATCAAAGCTGTTACTTTTTTGTCAGATGCCATCATCTAGAGGTGGAAAAAATGAATTGCACCTTAAGCCCCTCTCCTTATTTTCAGGATTGCAACTGGAAGTAATTCCTCTTGTTCATGAACGCACACCTCTAGCTGACCAACAGAGCTAAAACAAGTTGTTTAGATATTTTTGTTCCTAAGAAATGTCGCCGAATCGGCATCTGATTAGGTTCTTCTGCAAATGCTTGTACACGCTCTGTGGTTGACGTCTGTCACTTCTGGTGCCTGTTCCTAGGGGATGAGGGTGGAACTGCAGTTTTTGCCACTCTGTGTTGGCTTCATAAAATTCCCAAGGTTGTGGGGGCTTGGTCTGTCTGTAAGTGGATGTCTAACGCTATTGGCTAATTCTGAGTGGCGGTCAGTTAACTGTATGGGACTGTACTGGACGGAGAGCGGGCTTAGCATAAAAAAGGGCTTATGTCAGAGTACATAAGACTAGGTCTAAACGACTATTTTAATAGTCAACTAATCGCCAGTTTTGTTGACAGTCGTGTCATTCATAAAAGTTTAGCTTATTGCGCCAGGATGCTCTAATATATCCATCATTAGCTTCTAGTCTGAAGTGTGATCAGCTATGTGCCATCTAATAATAAAGACAAGATGGTAGCTTATCAAACAACTTTTAATTAACTTTGTAACTCATTAATACACATGCTACAGTCAGATGGAGGTAGGCACCTAAAACCAAAATAAAATTGTGTTCACAAGAGGCATGGTGGCAAAGTTGAAGCGCTTCATCTTCCAGTCATAACTCAAGAAATGGCAGGACACTCCAAGATATGCCTCTGTTGCACGGCTTGTCCACACGTCAGCAGTCAGGGGATCGTCGACAGCTCTGAGGGTCTGCTTTACCTTTAAGATATTAAAGTTAGTTTATTTAACAGATTAATAATTCTGTTATATCAGATAATTTAGGCTAAGAGTTAGTTTCTTGATTGTTCAGTCAGCAACGTTTTTATTTGATCATAAAATGCATTATATTCTAATGTTTGTTTTATTTGTGTCCAGAGAAATAGAGACAAAGATGTGCGCAAGCGTGCACACACACACACACACACACACACACACACACACACACACACACACACACACACACACACACACACACACACACACACACACACACACACACACACACACCTTAAAGGTTGTTTGATATCACTGTGGTGAAGTGGGATCGGTCTGGTAGGTAGTAGTCGTGTTATCCTGGGTTGAACTGCTTAATCATCTCTTTGAAACCTTGACCATGGACAGGAGTCTACTGACTAACATGCCCACAATGGCCTCGGTCAGGACGTTAGCTTGCTGAGGTGTGCACATAACAAACTCGTCCATTGAAGAGGAGCGCTTTTATTAACACTGTAATGTAGCGGGATGAAATAAATCATGTGTTTGTAATTGGAGCAGAAATACGTGACATACAAATGCGTTCTGAAGGTAATAACATCACCATCGCTACTGGTGTTGCTACACCTATGAATACAAGTAGCTCTCTGTTGATGTTAGCAGCTGACAAGAGGTGAACTTACAGAGACGACTCTTTGTTCTCCGCCGTGACGCGCTTCCTCTTAAGCCACTCGTGCATCGACGATGTGCTCCTGTGAAAGGAGAGTGTCACTATGTAGAGTTTCCACTACAGACCTTTCTTTTGAATCTGTATAATGCTCCCAAACTTTAGAGCTTTGTTGCTGACTCGCCATGTTTTCTTTCTCCGGTGATGAAGGCTGAGTTGGATGGCCACTAGTGTGCATGCGCCTCGGTGCGAAGTGGCGGCTCAGCAGCAGAGAGGCAGGAAGCAACTGCTGAACGTGCGGCAGCAGGCGAGATGAACATTTTTTATGAAATAAACGATGCATCAACTATTAAAGTAATGGTCGACTATTTTGTTTGTCTATGTCATCGTGACGAGTCGACTAATCGTGGCAGCCCTACATAAGATTATCACTTTTATGGTTTTCAAAAAAAAAAAAGTTATGCCTGAAAAGGGAAAAACTCCGGAATGCTGCAGTGAGGGCTGTCGTGCAAAGCGACAGAAGGGTAAAACGCCGTGTAGGAATGTTTCAAAATCCCCATTTGCTGGAAAATCTTGATAAATGACATTGTTCGATTTGATCAGTTTGTTGACGCAGTAAGCAAATTATCAGTGGTCTAGAGAAAGGCTGATTTTTATGTGGCTCTGGATTGGTTATAGCATGTCATTATAAGAGAAGCCAGTCTGTCAGACTGGTGGCAGTTGTTTTTGTGGGTACAGGAGTATTTTAAAACTGTGGTATCACAACTGTCTGCTGAAGAGAGATGTAATATACTGGCTGGTGTCCTCATACCATCTATGCAGAATCTCATCTCTCAGGTTTTCCTCTCAGGTGAGGTGCTCAAAGTCTCAAATCTACCGTAAACCTCTTTTAACTTTAAAAGGCAAAGCTAGAGTTTGGAAAATAATTGAATCGGTAAACAAAATGTCACATTTATAAGCTTATCAGAAATAAAAATAGCTGACTTTACATTCCAGGGAAAGCTTTCATCTGATTTCATACAGTTAAATCAATTGTGTGGCACATGTACTACATGCCATAAATTATGTTTGGAGGGAATTGCATTAAGCAGAACCTTACCACGGAGAGAGGACGTAGCCACAGGCTTGGTTTTATTACTAGAGCCTGATCTGGTGTGATATCGACTCCAGTTGCTAAATCTTTTTAGTGATAATTAAAAAGAAGAACCTGAACCTATGAAAATTAAATAAGATGTCTAGATTTTATACCAGTCAAGCTTGTTATATGAAGCCTATAATGCAACTTTCAAACAAAAAAGTAATAACCCGGAGCCCCTCTGTGTCACCGATCTCAAATATTCAGGAGAGTAAGAATGCCACTGAAATTGTTTCAGAAGTAATCAATTCACACATTTGATAGGTTTCTTTTTTATTTTCTGCGTGAAATGACTCAAACATTACAATAAAATGTGTCCATTTCTATTTCCCATCCTCTGATGAGCCAGTTTGAGGTGGAATGATTTTGAGTGTCAGAGAGAAAAACACATGAATGGCGTGGAGTGACGGGCCAGGCGCCCTAATTGAATATTCATCTCTGCAGGAGTTCCTTATGAATAGCTGAAGGGCTGTTGACGGACAGCATCGGTTCTGTTTGTTCCCTCCTCTGCAGCTCCACCACTGCTTTTTTTACACTTACGAGCATAAAAATGGCTTATTTTTATTTTTTATTTATTTTTTTTACATGCTCACGTGTTCATGGACTCACTCAGGCAGAGCTCTGTGTAGCTCAGACCCAGAGGAATGAGAACTCTAATCTGTGATTAATCTGTACGGGAGCATAATTATTTATTCAAATTCTACTCGTGCTGGGTTTTTCTCACACCTCTGCTTGATTGCTTTACCGGTCTGGTGTGATGTCCAGAGACACATAGTTATACAAACAGTTAAGTCAGCTGATCTGATGCTCTGTCTTCAGCTGATTTGCACAGCTTGGATTATATTACCTCAGCTATAGCTGCTGCCCCCACCATGTCAGCTGGCTTCATTTATTGTGCCCATAGGAACAGTTTATGATGTCAGCCTGGCCATTACTTACGACTGCGTTTAGTCAGGCTTCCTTTGCTGTCATATAAATGTCTTCCTGTCCCGGGCGCCCTTGGTTCCTTTTATCTCACACGCTCGGTCATTTGCATCTCTTCCTAGAAGGCTGGTTAGTCAGTTTGACCGATGTTTAAGTGGCTATGGGAGTAAATACAAGAGTTTAATATCCATTGTCTAAAACAGAAGAGTCCTGGATTTCGTATTTAAATTTTGAGCTTTTCAAATAAAAACAAAGATTCTGATAATAATAAACCAAATAATGTAGATTCTAAGAGCTTTTTGATGCTCCCCATCACTAGGATTGTTCATTTTAAATAAAATAACAACTCAGAATTTTAGAGTAGATCAGTTAATTATATCTGCCTCAGACCAATTACCCCGAAAGACCAATAATGCTCAGTTTTATGGCAAAGCCACAAACATAAACAGATTTCTTGTTCTCTCCAAGGTCCTGGATCCTGATGCTGTCGAACATCTGTTTGACTCTCTGCTGCCAGACATGATGCAGTTAGCACTGAGAGTGTCTGAGCTCTGTACCAAGGTAACTCCAGCCACTGGCTGTGGTTCTTTTCAACCTTGAGGTTCCAATATGATAAATAAGCAGTCAAATGATTCAGAAGTGAGGAGACGCATAACCAATTGTCTGATTGTTTGGTATCTGGAGCCAATGGAAAAAACTCATTTAAAACATTTCTATGTAATTATTTGGCTGGGTGCTCAACCATAAAATTTAGATTTTGCATCTTTGGATGAAACTCTTTTTCACTTTTTATTTAAATTCAACTGTCACCCAAAAACAATGAAACTTTTCTAGCAGATCTGTTATACCTTGAACTGTACAAAGATTTTCAGGGTTTCTTTTTTTGGGGTATGATTTTATCTTGGAACAATCAAAAATTACTAGTGTGTTATAGTTATCACAACTGGTTAGTGGTTTAAGTAGAAAGACCATTTGCAGCCAAATAATAAATCTGTTGAATCTAGCATTTTGGCTGCTGACTCTTTCAGTTGGTTTGTTGTTTTAATGTAATGGTTTCTCAGTATTCACCTTCTAGTACCAGTTTATGGTCTGTTCCCCATCATAAATATAACACATCACACAACACGTCCTAAAGATTGCATCACCACAGCGTATTTTGTTGTCTTGCTAAATAAACAAAGTGAATAATAGAGCCCTTCTTCAGTTGAGCCTCTGTTTCTCCTCCAGCCGATCCCCCTCCTGAAAAGAGGAGTGAGCCACTCGATCACCATGTCTCAGGAGCAGGTGGCCTGTCTGCTTGCCAACGCCTTCTTTTGCACTTTCCCTCAAAGAGACATCAGAGAGTGCTGCAACTATCCGGACTTCAACTTCTTTAGGTAATGTGTGGATGTTGTAACTGGATTATAAAGTATACTGACACCTAGCTCCTTCTCCATAAGGGGGCACTACTGTATATGCTTTATATATGTATTTTTTTCCAAATAAAGCTAAAACACACATACATTTACATACCGTTAAAGCTTTGGGATTTATCAGCACTTGTAAAAATAAATCTGTGATTCAGCCATACACATTTATAAATGATGCAGTTCCTTTGGTACAGCCTCCAACAGGAGGTCAGGGTGGTGCAATGTAAAATCTGTCTGCTGATCTCTGCTCATGTTCCCGCTATCTGCTGGAATCGCAATGTAATTACCTAAATGGAAGAGGAAATTAGATAAACACTGACTCAGATGGCTGCTTTTGACAATACAGAATGCTGTCGGGGTATTTTTTTTTGCAGGAGATGGTAAAAGAGTCCAAACCCTAAAGAATGTCATTCACATAAATGTGTGGTGATTTCAAAGGGAAACGCTAAATTATTTTTAAAAATTCGGCTGCAAAAACTGTCATGTAAACTACCAAAGTTGCACCGGTCAAACATGAATGATGTTAAAAATGTTATTGAGCAGCCTTTACTCTTGCTGCTCTGCCTGAAGCCCCCCCCCTTCTCATGTTGTGTGAATGAAATGTCGTCGTGTGGAATTTTCTTCCTTAACTAATTATCCGACGGATCCGTGGTTTTCCGTTACAGATATTTTTGCTGCATTCTCTTTACTCCTCATGTTTTATTTTCTCTTGAATACCAACAGTTACACACTCGCCATGAAAATGAAAGGAATAAGTGGTTTAAACTTTTTTTGTTTTTGCTACACATCAGCAATATCTCTTGGTTATTATGCCAGGGTGTATCTCAGCCTGTAATTGGGTTTCAGAAGGCTTCATCAGCTGCTCACATAAACAAGTATTTTACACATCATAGCGGATGTTAAACCATGCCAAAAACAGCAATGGAAACAGAATAATAGAAATAAAAGCTGCCACAGATGAGTATTTAACCATTGTAAATGCAAGTGTTTGTAGTGTTTTTAGTATATTGGTGTTGTTTAGTTGTGCATTCTCTTTTCTTTAGAGATCCTATAATTTGTTCCTAAAAGGTTGTTCTCAATAGTGGCTAGCTTATGTAAGACATTTACCCTGAGGACTTCTAAAGCCATGATTGTTTCTTTGGGCCACTCTGACAACAAAGAAAAAGAAAATGAATGCTAGAGTTCAGTGAATGGGTTTTCCTGCCCCTGAAGGGCTCTCAGAGCACCAAGCTTTTGTCATTATTTCATGTCCTTCACATGAAGCATCATTCTTTTTACTGTGGGGCCGCTCAGTTCTTTATATGGTTCTGCTCAAAGTGCATTCAGATTTCACCTCACTGCCAGCAGCTCTGCATGCATGTGTCCTAAGACCTTTTACCTCCTGAGGACAGTGTGGTGGTTAAAATGACACAGGGCTTCCTTCCCTCTCTTCCTTTGATGCTTCAGAGCTGGGACACTGCAAGAGTGTTGCTCTGTGATGGCCAGCCCGGGGCAGCGGTGTTGTCATAACCGCAAAGGAGCTTCTCCATAATCGGCTAGTGGCTGAAAGGGAAGCTAGTGAGAGATGGACTAATTCCTGTCAAAAGTTAAAGCCTGACTGAACTCACATGGCTGAAATGGAGGTCATGGCTCTGCAGGGAGCATTTTGTATTAGTTTGAAGAGTCGGTGGTAAGGTGGGATGTCAAACGCACTTCTATAAGCAAGCTTTTAGATTTAAAATGAAAATACGTGTCAGAAAAACTTTTTTCTAAGTTTCTTATCATTTTTATTTTGCATCCAGGCTGTTTAAAGGTTCCTCCTCAAAGAAAATGGAAAAACTGAAAACCCTGATGTGCTATTTTAAAATGGTCACTCAGCAAAGTAAGTGGTTATAAACTCAATTATAGCAGTGTTATTCTAAAAACCCGATGCAGAAGAAACATTTAGACCTGTATCTTTTTGTTCCTTAGTACCTACTGGACTTGTGACTTTCAGTCGACGAAAACTGGAAAAACCACTCAACTGGAAAAGGTCTGGCATGTTTCTGAATGCAGATGCCAGTATGTCATCATAAATCTGGTTATGATTTTAGTTCCGGTGAATAACTGTAAATCCTTGTGCTTCAGCTCAAAGACACTACTAACAAAGCTCCATATTACATGTGAAGGGACCATTGAGGACGATGGTTATGGGATGCTTCAGGTAAGCTGCAGATGTAGTGTTTGGTTATTAAAATGAAATGGATTCACAGTAACTAGTAGAGATGTAAGAAAATATTGATACAGCAAAATATTGTGATATTTCTTCCAGTGGTATATCGATATTCAAAAGCGGTGTATCGAAAATTTCGATATTGCAGTACATTGTGATTTTTTTCCCTGCAATATTAAACTGATATTCAAAAGCCGTGTATCAAATTTTTTTATGAATTTACATGCAAGCATGTGTATTTTCTTTTCTTTTGGTGCAATTCCAATGCCGACCGCTAATTGGCAGCAGTGTGCAATAGGTTTTGTTTCCACCGTTGAAATGTAAATCCCTCTATTATGATTCTGATTCCTCATGTTAAACATTTTACGTATCAGTTTGAACTGTTTATTGAATTTTCATATAATACTCAGTCTAAAAAAATCGTTAATATCATCCAACTGAATGTATGGCAAATTGTGATTAGGGATGTTGCGATTGATCGACCACCAATCAAAATCGGCAGATTTCCATGAAAAACGCGTGATCGACTGATTGCCGATCTACTCCTTTTGGAGCTGATCATACTAGTTGATCACATGTCACTGCAGCCGACAGAGACCCTGTGTGTAGCTGCAGCATCACGTCTCACTCACCCGCATGTGCGCACTGTTAAAAGTTTTACTCCATCTGTGAGTGATGTAAACACACGGGGGAAGTTCGCTAAACTGTGTCAACACAGCGGATTTAATAGGACTATGAAAGAACAAACTCTGCTTGGAGTGACGGTCGTTTTTGTTACTAACCTGCAGAAATGAATAGAAGACAGTCGGAACAGTCAACTGTTAGACGCAGCTACACTAACCAACATTCGTCTGTAAGAGCGTGACAGTGAGAAGCCAGACCAACTAAGCTGAAAAGTAATTAAAGTCATCATGCTTGTTGCCTTGGTGGACAACACTGTGTTATGCCAGCTAGCATCCACTAGAACTAATAAATAAATAAATCTATTAACGTAACAACTCTGACTGTCTCAGGTTACTTGTTTAGGAGACTTTTATTTAGCCTTACAACTTCTCCATTTATCCACAGAACAGTTCAGAACAGAGCAGCTTTCAGCCGCTGACCGGAACCGGAAAAAACCTGTTAGGGATTTTATCAATATGTTTATCAATAAACCCATTTCCTGTAGTGAAGAGAGAAGGAGACAATGAGCAGACAAATGAATCAGTTATAACTGTGGCACATGCATGAGGCAAAATGCCCCGAACATCTGATCAGAGTTTATTTAAACAAATAGATAAGAATGGGAGTGAGGTCATTGTGTGTGTGTGTGTGTGTGTGTGTGTGTGTGTGGGGGGGGGGGGGGGGTGTCTGAGTGTGGGAATGCTTCAGGACATTTGTTAACATAACAGGATTAAAGCAATGAAATATAAAATTTCCATAACAAAACCCTTTCCACCCACTGAACCTCCCTTCAAATTAAAACTGTAACAGATAGCATTAATCTTGTATCATTACCTCTTAAAACTGTTGCAATAATAACATTAATAATAATAAAGTTAATGATTACATCTCACAACACACAGTTGAGTTTTTTTCCTTTAGCTTTTTTGCACTATTTAGAGCTTTTGTTGTTTTAAACTTGTTGGATTGTTATTGATAGCAGCTACATGCAACAGCATGTAGGTGTAGATTCTCAGTCATCCTGGACATGATCATCTTAAGAGATTTAATTGAAAACAGCTAGACGTTTCTAGTTATCTTGGAAATGTTTGACCTCTCATCCAAGAGACATTTTCAGCTCTAAACCTTGAGTTTTGAGCAGGAGGCTTAGTTGTGGTCAGTCTTTTTTTTCTCTTTAAAAAATAATAACAGGCAGCTCAGGCAATTCAAGGTGATTGAATTACCTGAGTAATTGTTCCTTTATTCCCAGATCATGTAGTCTGTAGCTCTCACTATAACTTCATAGAAAATTTATGGCCAATCCATGCGATCGGTATCAATGATCAGCACTCGGAGCATCACCGATTGTGATATAAGACATCGTCTCCCCTTTATCGTGATACGTATCGTATCGCCATAATTTCACCAATACACATCCCTAGTAATTTGTTTTGTTTGAAGGAGGCATACATGCAGCAGCCTTTTGCGTTGAAGCTATTCCTTGTGTTGCCTCGTTCTAGAGCCTTCCGCCCAGAATGCTTACCGCTGCTGAATAGGCCTTTGCAAGGAGTCTGCGACGCATCAGAGGGAGTTTGTGCTGGGAACGAGGTCGAGGCCTCTGGGCCTCCTCTGCTCCCCATGCCGGCCGATCTTCCTGTCCTCTGTCAGCACACTCCCCTCTGACTTTCACCTTTTGTTGCCACTTTCTGACAGTTGATGTGGACATGTGATCAGCTCCGGGGCTCTCAGTTGCCCAGATTGACGGATGCTCTGTTGGGGTGGTGGGGGTGGGGGTTTCCTCTGACAACCTGTCAAAGGAGGCTTTGGAGTCTTGCTTGTTGTCCCAGTGTTGAGTGACCACTATAAATCTGCCCTCAGATGACTGCTCACCCTTTTGTATCGTTTGCTCTGGCCTGTGATAGGTTTGGTCATGACTGTCCTCAGACCAATCAGCAGCAGCTGTCATCTCTGAAACCCTACGATTGTTTTGTTCCATTTGGATAGTAATGAATTGTCTGAGCTGAAATGTGAAATGTAGGTAAAAACGGGCATACGTTAGCTTTCTATTACTGGAGATTAATCTAGCCTTTGAGCTATATAGACCACTTTCTTTTGATTTGTGTTTCCTGCTGGCAGCCGCACACGTAAACGCTGCTTTGCTAAGAGCTCACAGCTCATTGTGTCATTGTGGACAGAGTGGCTGAGTAATGCCAGCACCTTAGGCCACATTCCCAATCAACTTGTCACTGACTCTGTCAGAAATAAAATAAAAAGGGCAGAGACCATTTCATGAGGTGTGACCCTGTTTTTTTAAGTTTGAAACACTGAAATATTTTCCCTTTAGAATGATTAAATGTGGATTCAGTTCTGCAAAGACACATGTTGTATGATCTCTTTTTTTTAGGTGGATTTTGCAAACAAGTTTGTTGGAGGAGGGGTCATCGGTGCTGGTCTTGTGCAGGAGGAAATTCGTTTCCTTATTAATCCAGAGTTAATTGTTTCTCGGCTCTTCACTGAAGCCCTGGATGATGATGAATGTCTGGTTGTCACTGGTAAGTTTCAACAAACTGTCCCTCACCTTTCAATGCAGTGAGTTGACTTAGAATGATGTAATTGTTTCATCCAGATCAGATCTGTGATACTCAGGCTTCTATAAGTCAACAAAAGCAAAATTTTCTGCCTTTCTGGTGAAACGCAACATGAATCTTCTGTTGCACAACTTCACTTTAACCCCCTCTGATTCAACCAGGAGCTGAAGAGTGTTCATGGCAAATTATCTGTCTTTGTCTCTTGTCCGCTTCTGATTGGCCGCAGGGAGTTCAGTCGGGAGACACAGATTTGGCTGCCTTGATTGCTCTGTTGGGTCCTTCTGCTGAGTAATTCTGACATGTTTACAGTAAACCAGGCTGCCAAGAGCCCAGCTTGCACTCAGTAACAAGAGCTAGACTAGAGGGAGCCCTGCAGGAGGTTGATGGCACCTGTCTGTTTTTTCCTCGTTTTTTTATTTATCTTTCCTTACCTGTTGCAGCAGGATGATTGGGTTTGATGAACAGCTTTGGCAATCAGTGGGATCTGGTGATGCCTAGTGACTAAACGAACAAAAGCCCAGTGGTATTAGTCCAAACAGGACTGGTTTTTAAAGAAAATTCACCAGAAATGCACCACTTGTGATTTTATTATTCACTCCAGATTATCTTTTTTAAAATTTTGTGTACTTTTTGTTTAATTTTTGTTACTTTCATTCTGTATTCCTTATCTGATTATCTGATTAACTTTTGTGGTTCTTCACTAATACACAGAGTAGGGCTGCTTGATTATGGCAAAAATGAAAATCACAATTTGTTTTGACTAAAATTGAGATCTTGACTTTTTAACTCATTAACTGCCAATGACCCCCCCCATTGTCCGTTTGTACAACTGAAACCAAAACCAACTGAAACCAAAACCTATCTCATCGCTGTGCGTTTGCCTATTTAACACTTTAATCTAACAACTGAAATGTCTCCCAGCCTTCATTGGTGTCTAGAGGGGTGATTCATTGCTAAATTAAACAAATCAGCTGTGCTTTTGAGGCGCCAGGTATGCAAGCTACATTTTTTCTTAGTCCAACAGACCGGACTGGCAACTGTGAAGTTGCAAGTGGGATATTCTGGCCACAACCCTGTAAAGGGTCATTTTAGCACATACTGGCTCAAGAAAATGATTTAAAAATATGAAAGTATCCCTTTGAAATCTACATTTTTTTCATTATTTCAAACAGGAAGTGAGGTATAACAAACAACACATTTTCTTTCTAATCTGACTCATCCTTCTGCTTCCCGTTCAGCAGAGTCACCTTCAGAGTTCTTGCTGGCCGTTCCTGCCATGCCTCCACTTAACTTTATTGCTTGACCACAGAATTAATTAGAGCTGGAAGACCTGCCCAAGACCCGTTCCATTAATGCACTCTTCCATTCCATCATCTTTATTAAACCCCGCCTGTATCTCTTGTCTCCTGGTCTAAAAGTCCCAGCCACTGCAGCTGTGGGGCCGAGCGGTAAATCATATTTCCCTCGGAGAGGTCTTGGCGTACAGTACAGAATCTAATGGATTGTTCCTCTGCACTGAAATTTGCAAAAGTGCCCTGGCTAATTAAGTTTTTCTTGATTGCTAGATATCAGGCTGCCATAGTGAGGGTCAAATTTATAAATAGCAACAGGGAGAAGTTGTGTGACTCACTGATGTCTGTACTAACCAAGGAAATAAGTGCATACCTAATGTATGTAAGCAGAGACAAAGCTATGGGGATAATTATGGTTTTTATATTATTTTGATAGAATAGTTCAATAATTTTAATTTCAATAGTCGTTTTATATTTTAAAATGAAACACCTAATGTTCTAATAAACGCACAACAATTAGATATGCTCCTGACCTTTCAGTGTCTGGTCCACCACAAATGTGTGAATTTTTAATGTTTTGATGCATTTACACATGAATGAAACAACCTTCAGGACATTGTCTTTTAAACCTGCTGATTTTATCACCTGCTATTTGGAAATAATCCTAACAGGTGGGCTATTTTTCAAACCTCATTTGATTCCCTTCCCTTTCAAATAACTTTTAAAGGACATGTTCGTTTGCATATAAACTAAAAGCATAATAAATTATGTTTTGTGAAGACGTTCCTTTCAAATTCAAAAAGGACTGGTTGTAAATATAGATGCATTAGATCCTAGATCCTACATTAGCTTGTGATAGAAAATAGACAGTGAAACTCTAAACACTACGTCACACTGTCACTTAACTTTCATGGACTCACCCGCAAAATGAGTGGAAAATGCAGAGTAAGAAGAGACAAATAGAAATCTATTCAACAATATGCAGTGTTTTCTCAAATTCAAGATCACTTACGTTATGTTTTGCAGTCAGCAAGTAGTGGGAACTGCTGAGGGCAAATACATAAAAAACACAATATTTACCAACTGCTTCAAGTTAAGTGTCCTAAGTTTCATTTTTGCACGCTGCAAAAATCCTCCGTGATGCTGCTTCAAACGTGCAATGAGGATGGATATATTAAACTTTCCTGGTTCTGTTCCACCATGGGAAACTTGTGCATGGCAAATTCCACACCGTCATTTATGGACCTTAACAAAAAATACTGCTACACGGTTGACATTGCGGCTTGCTACTTTGCTAGCACGCACTGTTCTGATCACGTGGTATTTGCATGCTGGATAGAATTGCTGAAATGAAAATTAAAGCGGAATGGATCACTTGATGCAGTCCGATATAATCCGATACCATGTTTTTGGGCCGATATCGAATTACTTCAGATATCAATATTGGAACGGTAGCCTGGCCTGCCAGAACCTTTTAATTCTGCATAGAGAGAGTCTGGTAACTCACAGGCAGAGAGGCACATGAGGGGCAGGACTAGCCAGTTCAAAAATAACCAATCAGAAAAAAAGATGGAAATGCCGATTGTACTGCGCAACGCTGTAGTTTTTTTAGCTATAGTCAAAAAAAGTGTCTGGGAACAGCACAAACATCTTTTATTTTTTAATAGAAATGCTTTTAGTGCATCTACTTGTTGTGGTTTTAAAGGCATTCAAGTCATTTAGAACAGAGGAAAGAGCCGCTGCGAACTCCGCCACTGCCTTCATTGTTTATGAGAAACTGAGCGTCGCTGTGTGTCGTCCGTGACTGTAGTTTTAGAGCTGTAGTCAAAAATTGCGTCTGGCGACAGCGCAAACATCTTTCTTTAGAAGAAAGACTTTTAGCGCTTCTACTTGTGGTTTTAAAGACATGTTCAAGTCATTTAGAACACAGGAGAGTCACAGCGAACTCCGCTTCAGTCGCCATGTTTGACAAACTCTGCATTACTGTGTGTGACGTACGCTACTCGGCGCTAATTGGCTCGGTTAGAATTATCACGGGGTGGGGTTATTTGAAAAGGAGAGTTCTCAGATCCTTTCTCTGTGCAGAATTAAACACAGGAGGAGTCTGGCTGGCCACGCTATCGGAACAGGACATCCCTACCAAATGTCAGTGAAGTAAGACTCCAAATCCTGCTGTCTAAAGCAACTTTCTCATCCAGCTGACCTCTACATTCTCAGACAGACACATCTGAGCTTTTTTCTCAAGAGTATGACTTACAAGACATTAATTTCTACTAGAGACCACTGCACATGTCAAAATGTCAAAATTTGGTGTATTTTAATCCTTCATTATCAACAATGAATTGAGCAAAAATAATTATAATTTATCTCAGATTAAAATTCACATCATTTGATCTAAAACTAGTACAAAGTCCTCCGACTCACAAAACTGGAAAAGCACTTGACCTCATTTTCACCAGAAACTATGCCATAGACACAATCTCTGTCACACCGCTGCATCTTTCCGATCATTACTTCATCCGTTTCAGCACGACTCTACAAGGGAGGTCCACTGCTTCCTCCCCAATGGTCTCATTCCGCCGCAACCTCTGCAATCTGGCACCCAACCACTTCTCTCTTGTTGCCTCCACTCTTCCATCTCCCAGCACATTCTCTGCTTATGAAGTGAATGATGCCACCAAGTCACTCTGCTCCACACTCCGCTCTTGTCTTAACAACTTGTGCCCTTTAGCCACTAGACCTGCTAGATCCTCTCAGTCGCACACTTGGATAAATTCAGTGACATCCAGTACATTTCCCACCTCTCTCAAGCATGCTCAGGTTAAACCGCTGCTAAAAAAACATCTCTTCCTTCAAATCATGTGGAGAACTACCTACCTATCTCTCTCCTCCCTTTTCTGTCCAAGATAATTGAAAGGGTGGCTTTCAAGCAGATCACAGAATACCTCTCACAAAACTGTCTGCTTGACCCTTACCAATCTGGGTTCAAAAAGGGCCTCTCCACTGAAACTGCTCTGTTAGCAGTGACGAATCCTTAAAAGAAGCTAGAGCGACTGTGAAATCCTCAGTGCTTATCCTGCTCAGCTTATCGGCTGCATTTGACACGGTCAAACATGGCTTCCTTTTGTCCACACTCTCTAGCATGGGCATCACAGAGAAAGCACACACCTGGTTTAAATCGTACGTCACAGGACGATCATTCAGTGTATCTTGGCTTGGACAATTCTCTACCGTGCACCTTCTTGCCACAGGAGTCCCCCAGGGCTCTGTACTAGGACCTCTTCTCTCTGGGTGAGATAATTCGATCACATGGCTTCTCCGACCACTGCTATGCAGATGACACCCATCTCTTTCTGTCATTTCCACCGGACGACCACACTGTCTCTGCACGAATATCAAACTGTCTCTCTGACATATCAAAATGGATGAAATCCCACCATCTTCAACTCAACCTCTCTAAAACTGAACTACTCGTCATTCCAGCAAAACCATCCATACAGCACAATATCTCAATCCAAAATGACTTCCTATCTCTGGCTCCTTCAAAGGCAGTTCGAAATCTGGGTGTTGTGATTGATGAACACCTGACCTTTAAAGATCATGTTGCTTCTGTTGCTCGTTCATGCCGTTTTGCGCTGTATAACATACGAAAGATCAGACCATACCTAAGACAACATGCCACCCAGCTCCTGGTGCAATCTACTGTCATCTTCCGCCTCGATTACTGCAATGCCCTTCTAACCAGTCTTCCAGGCTGTACTGTGAGACCTCTTCAAATGGTCCAGAACGCAGCAGCGCATCTGGTTTTCAATCAGCCAAAAAGAGCACACATCACCCCTCTGTTCATTGAGCTCCACTGGCTACCGCTAGCTGCACGCATCAAATTCAAATGGCTAACACTAGCATACAAAGTCTGAGACGGTACGGCTCCCATCTACCTGAATCCTCTTGCAAAGGCTTACGTCTCGGCCCGGCCGCTCCGGTCATCACAGGATTGTCAGCTAGTATTGCCTACACCACGCTCAGGACAATCCAGACTCTTCTCATGCATCGTTCCACAAATGTGGAATGATTTACCATGCACTACAAGAACAGGGGCTTCCTTTTCGACTTTCAAGAAACTCCTGAAGACCCTGCTCTTCAGAGAGCATCTTCTTAACTGGCACCCTCCCTGCACCCGCCTCCCTCTCTACTGTCCACTCCTTGTTCTCTCCTCTCCATAATTCATCATGCTGCTTCACTGCCACCTACGACTGACTGGAAATTGGTTGTTGTTGTTGTTGTTGTTGTTAGCCTCAAGGGCAACATGCCGATTATCACTTGAAAGTCGCTTTGGACTAAAGCGTCTGCTAAATACATAAACATAAACATATTTGATGCATCATGTCTTTAATGATTAGCGTATAGTAAATTTTATCCAGCTTTTTACTCATATGTTTACATAAATAGTTCAGTAGTGTGTTATTGAGGTTATTTTTGGGTAGTAACAAGAGGTATTTGAGTATTTAAAGAACAGGGGTTTTGGAGCTGATTGAGCATTAGAGATTTATCTTTCATGTTCTTCTGATTGGCTGAAGAAGGATGCAGCTGCTGCTGTTTCATTTCATAATGTTGAACCATCGACAAGCATTTGTATACGTTTGTTGAATTGATTTCTATTTGTCTCTTCTTACCTCTGCGTTTATCTGGATCTTCCACTCATTTTGTGCTCGCACATTTACAACAGAACACCACTGGTGTGAGAGGTTCTCCGCTCAATATGATCAGATAAGGAGAAACAGCCGGCTGCTGCCACTTCTACTTTAGGACAAACTACCAGAATCCCAAAAGAGGTCTGGACATAGAAAATGGTGACTGTTGTTTAGAGCTCTCTCATTTACTCTGGAAATGCGGGCTCCTATATCATGCAGACCAAGGGATGATGGCTGATGGGAGGGATGAAAGTTCTGTGACCATTTTTGTGTTTAAAAGCTAGCTTGTTTTGTAAATGTGCCATTGCATCTTTAACCTTTTTGAATATTGTTTTCTGTTCTGATTATATTTCAAATATATGATGATTCAAATGGTGAAGCTGCTTGTTTAGTGTTGGAGTTTAATAGGTGTTGATGTTTATTAGGAACTCAACAGTTCAGCAAATACACCGGTTATAATGAGACCTACAAGTGGAGTGGCAGCTTCCAGGACAAAACCCCAAGGTATGTGTGGCATCTACTTACTTTAATGATCTCAACTTAAGAGATGCGCTGATTCTGATCTTGTTGACCAATCATGGTTCCTGATTCTTGAGCCAATACAGATTTTTATAAGGGATTCAAATGTATTCCTAAAGGACTGAATTGTGATTCATGAAATAAAAACTTTTACGTGGATCTAATGTTGCTAGCATTAATTAATGCTTTGTAGTTTCTTCTGACTGGGAATGTTGGACTTTGTTTTGTTGCAACTTGACAACTGTTTGTCAACAAGCTCCCAGTAAAATAAAAAAAAATAATTTTTAGTTTCAGGTTGACCTATCACAGGTTAGGCCGATCAATATTCATATTGACCAATTTCAATCTCCAGGCGATTTTTAGGTGCACTTTTTTTTTACTTGACTGTAAAATATTTTAACTTGTTGTTTATAACCATTTATTCTGGTTTACCACCTCGTCTATGAGATGTTAGTCTTTGATTGTACTTTAAAATAAATTGAATGTTTATTTACAGCTGTTTAGGTGATCTTTTTTAAATGTGTGGTTGTCTGAAATTAGTTTTTAGTTATTTCTGATTATAATCAGTCACTTTGAGTTTTTCATGCTGGCTGAACATGAAAATAGTCTCCTACACCTACCTCTTGCATTAACGTCTGAAAGAAAATAGATAGTGAAACTCTAGGAAAAAGCCTGACAGATCTACGTCTCACTGTCACTTAACCTTCATGGACTCGCCCATCTTGGCTCACGATGGGGAAGACTGTTGTTGGTGGTTTAGCGTCCAGGAAACGGCAGAGACCACTAGCAAAAGCTAACCATTAGCATTTACAACTCCACCACACAGCAGAACTCCTTCTTTTCATAGCCTTTAAGCAGCAAAGCAAATGATTTGTCTCTAAAAACCTTAACCTGATTTAGCATGTAACTTTGAATGTGGTCCGTTGGTTATTCTGTCACTGATATAAATCTTCACTTGTCTCCCGATTCGATTACGATTATTGGGACAACGATTCAATTCAATTCGATATCCCGATGCATCACGATGCATCACATTTATTTCATATTAATTTGTTTTCATCGATAAATAGAAGATGTCAGATAATAGCTTTGTTATTTATTTATTTATTATTATCAAAAACGTAATTGACACAACCTGCCATCCCTCAAAAGCTCTCCATTCACAACAGGTTTGGACAAAACATTTTAAACATTTAAGATTTAACAAAGTAAAAACATCCGTTTCCTCATTCAACACCACACCTCAGGCTGAGAAAAACATGCTTTGCAAAAACTCACAAAATCTGAAAAAATACAGAAAACCTACAGGACACATAATGTAATAATAAAATACATAATGGGTTCATATATGAGTGTTTAATGTCTCTGAGCAGATTTAGAGTCAAATATTTATGCCGCAGTTCAAGGGTGTCAGAAATGACACCAAATGAAATGTTTGACTTAGTTTGTTTTTTCATTTGAACCCAGTGGTTCGTTTCTGAAATGTTGGAGCATTAATCAAGTTCTGTTTGATGCAGAAAAGAATAAAACATAAAACAAATTCTTAACTTTCAATAATATTTAAGATGTGTGTTTTATTCTTTCTGATAATAACACCAGCAGAAGGCTGTGGGCTGGATTAGGATTAAATTACCCAGATGATGGATCTCCTTCACTAACCAGATAACTACAAACCTTTCCACTAACCTGTCCTGTGGGACCCTCACCCTTTAAGCCTCATGTCCATGCTGTCTCTGGAGGAGCTTATAGGAAACGAGACCTCCTGTAACCTAAAATGAACCAAAGCTTCTTCACAGTTTTTAAAGTTGAATTTAACATCAGTTTATCATCATGAAACAAAAGAATAAAGTGGAACGAAAACTTCTATCTTCTATTTCTCTCTCCTTTTAACTTCTCCGTGTCCCTAAATAAAAGAGACCGATGATTACACTGCAGCTGCCGTCACTGACCCCGCCCCCTCCCCAAGACCAGATCACCTGGCATCACAACACTCGGTCTGACTGAGCGTTTCGAGCAGAAATAATAATGAAATTATGAAAATAATAATGCATGCTTGGAGGAGTGTCCTCCGATCCTCCCTCTTGTGTGAGCAGACAGTGTCTCTCTCTCTCTCTCTCTCAGTTGCTGTGCGAGCGAGCGGAGCGGGCCGCGTGACCACCCGCTCAATTAACTTAATTCACGGCCCAAATCCTACAGAACCGGTCAGGCTGATTCGGTTCCGGTTCGGTCTCAGGTTACAACTCCAGCGCTCAGCCCTGCAGTACCACATTAAGGCGGAACAATACTTGGTAGATGTGGAGGACACTTACTCTGACAGCTTTGGATGCTGCGCTGGTGCCGCCGTTAAAAAAACAAAACTACATTCCACAATAATTGATTATGGCGTACTCTTCTACGATGCAGAATCGTTTATGTCCGCATCTCGCTGCATCAATTATTTGATTATTTTCCTCAGCTCTAATATACATGTGAGTTGAAAGGAGCTGCTAAGCTCAGATGTATGGTTATGTCGTGATAGAAAATATAGTTTAATTTCAAACATTTCCTTTCTATTGTCTGATTAAATGACTGGTTTGGTGCTGGTTAACTTCTCCGATTCACGTGTTCCTTTGATGTTATTCTGGCTGAGTTGAAGCGACTATTTTGAACTTTTCTTTCTTTTTTCAGAGATGCCTGGCAGAGAATGTGCACTGAGATTGTGGCTATTGATGCTTTAAAGTTCGAGCACTTTCTGGAACAGTTTCACCCGAGCAAAATCAACCGAGAGCTTAATAAGGCAACCTTTTCCTCTTATTTTCTAATTTGTTTATGACAATTTATTTCTGAAGGCCTGCATTAGTAAACAATTTTTCTCTGTAGATGAAATTAAAACCTATATTTGTTCTGACATGGTGACTTCTCTTATGCTTTGATCTCACGATCATCAGTTTAAAGAAGTTATGTTAGATGTTTATTAGCTTAATATATTTTAACTGGCATACAGCGATTTACTTGATGCATTTATCTAATACTTTTTACAACAACACTTCTAATAAATGTCATGCTATGTGTACGAGTCTGGGTGAGTAAAATCTATTTGTAATAGAAAATCAAGATGTTGATGTTGCCAGGTCTGCTGTCAGAGATCAAAGCGTCTGACAGTTCTGACAAGTGTATGAAGAATGCAGAAACACAAAGATCAATCCTTCCTCAAATATAGTTCAGTTAAATGGCATATCTGCCCGTTCACGGGAAGAATTTATGACTGGTCAGTGGGAGGATGGGCTCTTATGAAAATAAATGTGCAGGGCCCCATCAGATCTTTCAATTCAATTCAATTTTATTTATATAGCGCCAAATCACGACGAGTCGTCTCAAGGCACTTCACATAATAAACATTCCAATTCAGGTCAGTTCATTAAGCCAATAAGAAATAATGTTTCCTATATAAGGAACCCAGCAAATTGCATCAACTCACTGACTAGTGTCAGTGACTTTACAGCAATCCTCATACTAAGCAAGCATAAAGCGACAGTGGAGAGGAAAACTCCCTTTTATCAGGAAGAAACCTCCAGAGAATCCTGGCTCAGTATAAGCAGCCATCCTCCACGACTCACTGGGGATCGAGAAGACAGAGCAGGCACGCACACACACAGACAGACAGAGTAATGTGTCTATAGTTATATTGTGATTTCTTAGTAAATATTCTATTTTTGGTGAGAGATAAACTTTATTGTATTTATCCTAGTGGATCTATAATTAAACGGATAAACTAGCAGTAGCACATCCAACGTCAAGGAAAGCAAAAAGTTATCAGGAGAGGGAGATTGTTTAAGTGGTTAGCAGCAGTGTGCTAGACAATAGCCCCCTCCATGAGGCCACCACAGCTCAGCAGAACATCATTGTAGCTTCTTCTGGGGAGAAAAACACTTGGAGAGAAAATAAAGTTAACAGCTGAAATTGCAGAAAATAATACAGTTAAAGAGCAGACTGTAGAAGAAAGCAGTAGAGTGTGAAAAGTGGTCAGTGTATTCTCCAGCAGTCTAAGCCTATAGCATAACTACAGAGATAACTCTGGATAATCTATCCTATTTAGATGGAGGCATGTTGGAGGCAGGGCAAGGGAGAGCCATCTTTACCGATTGTACACTCAACCTCCCTCTACTCCCCCACTTGTCCAGATCTAGGCTAACATCAGATTTTAACCATAGGCCCTATCAAATAAAAATGTTTTAAGCCTAGTCTTAAAAGTAGACAAGGTGTCTGCCTCACGGACTAAAGCTGGGAGTTGGTTCCACAGGAGAGGAGCCTGATAACTTAAAGATCTGCCTCCCATCCTAATTTTAGATATTCTGGGAACCACCAGTAAACCTGCAGTCTGAGAGTGAAGTACTCGGTTAGGAACATATGGAACAATCAGATCACTGATGTACAGGTGCTGGCCAGTAAATTAGAATATCATCAAAAGGTTGAAAATATTTCAGTAATTCCATTCAAAACGTGAAACTTGTACATTATATTCATGCAATGCACACAGACCAATGTATTTCCAATGTTTATTACGTTTAATTTTGATATTTATAGGTGACAACCAATGAAAACATCAAATCTGGTATCTCAGAAAATTAGAATATTCTAAAGGCCAATGAAAAAATGTTTGTTTCTCTAATGTTGGCCAACTGAAAAGAATGAACATGAAAAGAATGTGCATGTATAGCACTCAATACTTAGTCGGGGCTCCTTTTGCCTCAATAACTGCAGTAATGCGGCGTGGCATGGACTCGATCAGTCTGTGGCACTGCTCAGGTGTTATGAGAGCCCAGGTTGCTCTGATAGTCGTCTTCAGCTCCTCTGCATTGTTGGGTCTAGCGTATTGCATCCTCCGCTTCACAATACCCCATAGATTTTCTATGGGGTTAAGGTCAGGCGAGTTTGCGGGCCAATCAAGGACAGGGATACCATGGTCCTTGAACCAGGTGCTGGTGGTTTTGGCACTGTGTGCAGGTGCCAAGTCCTGTTGAAAGGTGAAGTCTGCATCCCCATAAAGTTGGTCAGCAGCAGGAAGCATGAAGTGCTCTAAAACTTCCTGGTAGACGGCTGCATTGACCCTGGACCTCAGGAAACAGAGTGGGCCAACACCGGCAGATGACATGGCACCCCACACCATCACTGACGGTGGAAACTTTACACTGGACCTCATGCAACGTGGATTCTGTGCTTCTCCGCTCTTCCTCCAGACTCTGGGTCCTTGATTTCCAAAGGAAATGCAGAACTTGCTTTCATCAGAAAACATAACTTTGGACCACTCAGCATCAGTCCAGTCCTTTTTGTCCTTGGCCCAGGCGAGACGCTTCTTGCGCTGTTTCTTGTTCAAGAGTGGCTTGACACACGGAATGCGACACCTGAATCCCATGTCTTTCATGAGTCTCCTCGTGGTGGTTCTTGAAGCGCTGACTCCAGCTGCAGTCCACTCTTTGTGGATCTCCCCCACATTTTTGAATGGGTTTGTCGTCACAATTCTCTGCAGGGTGCGGTTATCCCTAGAGCTTGTACACTTTTTTCTACCACATTTTTTCCGTCCCTTCGCCTGTCTGTTAATGTGCTTGGACACAGAGCTCTGCGAACAGCCAGCTTCTTTAGCAATCACCTTTTGTGTCTTGCCCTCCTTGTGCAAGGTGTCAATGATTGTCTTTTGGACAGCTGTTAAGTCAGAAGTCTTCCCCATGATTGTGGTGCCTTCAAAACAAGACTGAGGGACCTTTTAAAGGCCTTTGCAGGTGTTTTGAGTAAATCAGCTGATTAGAGTGGCAGCAGGTGTCTTCTATATTCAGCCTTTTCAGAATATTCTAATTTTTTGAGATACCAAATTTGGAGTTTTCATTAGTTGTCACTTATGAATATCAAATTTAAATGTAATGAACATTGGAAATACATTGGTCTGTGTGCATTGCATGAATATAATGTACAAGTTTCACGTTTTGAATGGAATTACTGAAATATCTTCAACCTTTTGATGATATTCTAATTTACTGGCCAGCACCTGTATGATGGAACTTGATTATTAAGAGCTTTATATGTGAGAAGAAGGATCTTAAAATCTATTCCGAATTTTACAGGTAGCCATTGTAGGGAAGCTAAGACAGGAGAGATGTGATTTCTCTTTTTAATTCTCATCAGAACTCTAGCTGCAGCATTTTGGACAAGCTGAAGACTTTTAACTACATTCTGTGGACTTCCTGAGAGTAATGAATTACAGTAATCCAGTCTTGATGTAATAAATGCATGAACTAGTTTTTCAGCATCACTCCTGGAAAGGATGCTTCTAATCTTAGCAATATTCCGAAGGTGGAAAAAGGAAATCCTGCAAACCTGTTTAACCTGGGATTTGAATGACATGTCCTGGTCAAAGATAACACCAAGGTTCCTTACTTTGTTCTCGAAGATCAATGTAATGCCATTCAGGTCAGGTGATTGACTAAGCAATTTCCTTTTCTGGATTTCTGGTCCAAAGATGAGAACTTCCGTCTTGTCTTGATTTAAAAGCAAAAAGTTTAGAGTCATCCAATTTTTTATGTCCTCAAGACAAGCCTCTAATCTACCCAACCGATTAGGTTCATCAGGGTTAATGGATAAATATAACTGGGTATCGTCAGCATAACAGTGGAAGTTTATCCCATGCTGTCTAATGATTTTACCAATTGGGAGCATGTATATAGTAAAAAGAATTGGTCCAAGCACTGAACCCTGTGGTACTTCACAAGTAACCCTGGAGTATGAAGACAATTTGTCATGTACATTTGCAAAATGAAATCTGTCAGACAGGTAGGATTTAAACCAGCCTAGTGCTGTTCCTTTGATCCCTACTTGTTCAAGTCTTTCTAAAAGAACATCGTGATCAACTGTGTCAAAGGCAGCACTGAGATCTAACAAGACTAGAACAGATACAAGATTCTTATCTAAGGCCATGAGAATATCATTTGTAACTCTCACTAATGCAGTTTCAGTGCTGTGATACTCTCTAAAACCAGACTGAAATTCCTCAAACAGAGCATTGGTGTTTAAATGCTCACATACTTGGATGGCCACTATTTTCTCCAGGAATTTGGATAAAAATGGAAGGTTAGATATTGGTCTATAATTCATTGGGTCATCTGGATCCAGAGAAGGCTTCTTAAGTGAAGGTTTGATTACAGCAACCTTAAAATCCTGTGGTACATATCCATTTACTAAGGATAGATTGATTATATCTAGAATGGGGGCAGTAAGGAAATACTTCTTTAAATAATTTGGTTGGGATTGGATCCAAAACGCAAGTTGAAAGTTTAGATGAAGCTAATATTTTTGATAACTCTGAAAGCTCAACTGGATCAAAACGGTTCAAGCACAGATGAGGTTCTACAGTCACCTCTGATGCTGCCTCAATTACCGAGGAAGAAGAAATCGCATTAGGGAGGATGCTAAAGATTTAGTTTCTAATAGAATTAATTTTACTTGTAAAAAATCCCATGAAGTCTTGCTGCTGAGGGCTAAGGGAATAGATGGCTCAGAGCAATGATTCTGTGTAAGTTTAGCAACTGTACTGAAAAGAAATTTAGGATTATTCTTATTCTCCTCAATTAGTGCTGAGAAATAAGCAGTTCTAGTTTGTCAAAGCTTATTTTTATAAAGCACAAAACTATTTTTCCAGGATAGGTTGGCCTCCTCTTGGTGCGTAGAGCGCCATGTTCTCTCCAATTTCCTAGAGTTTTGTTTTAAGGCTCGTAAATGAGAATTAAACCAGGGAGCCAACTTCCTGTCCCCAATTACCTTCTTTTTTAAAGGGGCAACATCATCTAATGCCACACATAGGAATTAACATGATGAACTAAGGCATCAATTTGTGAGGGGCTAGAACTGAAAATATTGCCTTCTGCTACATGCCTCTGAGATGCTGAGGACATTAAAGATGGAACAGTTGATTTAAAAGACGCAACTGCGTTGTCAGATAGAGACCGACTATAGTGAAATTTACTTTCATGTCTCGAGAACTCCGTTATAAAAAACTCAAAGGTTATCAGAAAGTGGTCTGAAAGGACTGGATTATGTGGAAAGATTATTTCCTCACACTCTATGCCATAAGTCATCACAAGGTCTAATGTATGATGGCAGGAGTGGGTGGAGCTATGAATTCTTTGAGTAAAACCAATTGAGTCTAAGATATTACTAAAGGCTACATTGAGGCTATCATTTTCAATGTCCACATGAATGTTGAAATCCCCCACTATAATGACCTTATCAGTATTTAGCACCAAATCAGATAAAAAAAAATCAGAAATCTGATCCAGAAACTCAGAGTAAGGGCCTGGTGGATGATATATAACAAGAGTGGTTTTACAGTTTTGCAATCTGGATTAGGAAAACTAAGAAGATGTTAGAACGAACTGTAGCTATTAATTGGTAAGGGACTGATTAATAAGTCCGAATGAAAAATGGTTGCTACTCCTTCTCGCCCTGTACTTCGAGCAATATGATTATTTAAATAATTTGAAGGAGTTGACTCGTTTAAGCTAATATAGTCCTCTTGCTGCAGCCAGGATTCTGTGAGATTCATTTAAGTATCTCCTAAATAATTTGTGTATTGCAGCTCATGGGATATTTCATGTCTAATTTAACAGTTGGGTTATTTCCAGATGTTGATACAAACAGTAAACATGTTTATGTTTATGGATCTGAGATAGTAGGCAAAGCAAGAGTAGCCACATTGCTAATGGAAATCCAAATTGAAATTCTTTTTTTTTTTACTGTACATTGTTATGTTTGGAGGAAGGTACTTAACCTAAGACATGCAGAATACAACACTGACCAAAAACGGATGGAAAAAATGATTTATTTATAAGGAGGAACTTAAGATGCACAGATAAGTCTGTGGATGGAACTGCAACAACAGCTCAGCGTCTGGAGGAGGGAGAACACAGGTGAGCATAGGTTCTGGTTTCAAAATCCATAGTAGGCAGGCAGAGGTGTTCAGCAGACTTACTGTGGGGCGTGTATATGTTGGCTGGAGGAGGGAGAGGTAGAGAGCTGGGGGAAGTGCAGGAGAGGAAGCAGAGGTGGAGAGAAGCGGGGCGTCCTGGTGGATGGGGCACTGGGTGAGATGAAAGGTAGGTTATGGAGGGTGGTGATATGGTCCGTGTGCTGAATAACCAAATCCTGGTCCGTGTGCTGAATATCCGAAATCCTGGAGTAGAGGTCAGTATCCAATGAGGTCGACAGGAATCCTGAAGAAGGGTAAATCCAATATCAGAGCAAAAACACTACGAAATAACATTAATCCTAGGAACACTAGAGGTAACACGAGTGGCTGGCTACTACCAAAACTGAGGCATTCTTCCGGCGTCGAATTGTGTCCACCATCCACCTTAAATAGGAAAGCACCCCGCTGATTGCTGATCAGGAACAGCTGGGCCACTCCCTCTCCTGGCAAGAGACTCACAGATGGTTAAGGGAACAGGAGTACTCATCCCGGCTCATGACATACATAAGCAAAGCTTTAAGGCATGTACGATTAAAAACGTTAAATCTATATTCTTAAAAATGAAGTTAGTAATTACTTTCCAAATATCTTTCTCTCTTTGTGCAACTTGTGTTTGCTTTAATCATTTATATAAATTGCAAAGAATAACTTTTAATTTTTAGTTCAATCAATAGTTTATTTATAAAGCACTTTCCTGCCACCGGCAAAGGCTGTCCAAAGTGGCTCATGAAGATAAAAACACAAAGATGTGCACAATATAAAACCAGCATTAAAAAGCTAAGAGTAATAGATAAACACTATAAAAGCAACAAGAAAAAAACATTCAAAACACTACATCACAGAACTGTAGTAACATTTGAGTCTGGCTGTAAACATTGAAGAGATAAAGACTGCTCGATCTTGAGAAATTGTGTCAAAGGCTTGAGGCCAAGACTGCAAAAGCATGTTTACCCTTGAAAAAAAAAACAACATGTTTTAGAGATGAGTCCAGTCTGACACCAAGATCCATCACCACTGGTTTCTTAAAGGTTGATGGTGATAAAATGTCCAGGCCATGAGTGTGACTATCACACTAAATAAAAATGACCTCTGACAATTTATGCAGTCCACCAGTTATTGAATGTAGCCCTACATGCCCTGCTTGATTGGCAAAGCCGACGATCATCTGTGTATAGATGGTAGCTGATACCATAATGTTCCGAGTGGTAGTAAATATATGTTAAACAATAGGGGCCCAGAACAGTACGCTGTGGAACACCTCACCTAATCAACGTGCTTTTTAATTAAGATGAACTGATAGACACAGTAAAGGATCTGCTCAAAGTATCTGCTGGTCAACAGTATCAAAAGCTGCTGAGTCCAACAGCAACATTGCCACAACCTCCCAAACTTAGTTGCATTTACTTAATAATCATCACATGCCTGGAAGCAATGAATTTTCTAAAACTATAGTTGAACAATGAGATTACCCATATTTAAATTTCACAATGATTTGTTAGTAATCCACTTAAAAGGTGACATGAAAATTCAAAATTTGCACAATTTAAATATTTAATCTTTGTGCTACCTTTTAAATTCCCTACACATTTAAACAAATCAGCCTTGATTGGTCATTCCCACATCAAAAACTAAATTTCCATGACACACATCAATTATCGATACATTTATAGTATTCTGTTTTATATTGCTTCATCTAACATGTAAACCTTTTTCAAATGAATACCTGCATTCTGAGGCATTGTGTGGGTGCTGGGTTTTGTGAAAATGCTCCTCCTGCAGCTTTTAAACAGCTCATAAAAGGTCATAAAGGTTTGGCGAAAGGTCAAAGTGAACATGCGACTTAAAAAAACAAATATTTTAATTGAGATATATTTAGTAAATGTCTCAATACTCAGTTTATGGTTTCATTTGAAAGCTTCTGTGAGGTATTCATAACACAGTGATCATTAATGATTTTTACATTAATCCGTTTTACCCTTCATTTTTCTAATTATTTGTCTTTAATATATTTATTTATTTATTTATTGTCTTTTTCAGGCCTTCTGTGGCTTCAGACACCCCGAGGAAAAGAGTCCGACCCTCGCCGCCGTGGCAACAGGAAACTGGGGCTGTGGGGTTTTTGGAGGTGACACACGTCTCAAAGGTAAGCACTGGCGTAACATTGACGTCAGTAGATTTTAAACACTGGACAGTCTAGTTCAGCTTTTTTTTTCTTTACTGGATATAACTGAAAACATTTCAGGTTGTAAAACTGCAGCAGATCCGTACGAGCATCCATTTGTCTTCTGGGAATGTGCTCATTTACCTAAGGCCTATTTTTTACCGTCCTCCTATTGATCAAATGACAAAGTTAATATGTTGCGTTAATAGTGAAATTGATCGCCTGCTTGAGTCCATCAATCTGTTCCAGCTCTGTGTTTGCATCCACGTCAGGGAGCAGTGGGCTTCAGGAGATTTCTCCTCTTCCTCGTCTACACCGAGCTCTGTACATACATCTGTGTGTATTTATTAGTTAACCATATCAAGATAGAGCCTTTTAATTGGCTCAATCACCTACTGTGTACTTAATGACATCCTTCTGCAGAAGAGCTTCATAATTCAGGTGCTGGTTTCACCTTTAACAACCACTTCTTTTTTTTTTTTTTAATCGGACAAATTGATATTTTTTAAAAAGCTGGACAAACTCTGCAGGGTAGAGAAAGTGCTGAAACATACTGGTGATTCTCCTCAGCCTCCTTCAGAAAATGTTGATTCAGTTTAGCTTGCTTCGTTGGCGGTTTTCCAACTTTAATTAATCAGCAGACATATTTCCAGTCTGTTAAAATATTCACAGCTTTCCGGAGCCAGTCCCGGCTTTCCTTTGTAACTGATCCAGAGTTCTCAGTAGGGGTGAGACCTATTCCCCTGATTACTTACCTTTTACTGTACAGCCTAATGGGGGCAGGTGCTGTTCAATTCTAATCGAAACATCAGCAACTTTTCAAATAATTATTTTTGTTAGGTTTTTAGAAATAAAGAAACATGATGAAATACTTTTATTACTTATTAGTTTCTTATAGATTATTCATAAACCTTCTAAACAAAATTATTGTCTATTTTTGAGCGCAGAAACATCTTCTGCGTTACTTTGGAAGTTTAACAAGCGTTTCTCCTCCAGCTCTGATCCAGATGCTGGCAGCTGCCGAGGCGGGCCGAGATGTTGCTTATTTCACCTTTGGTGACAGCCAGCTCATGACAGATGTCTACAACATGCACTCGTTCCTAACTCAGAGGAACATCAGTGTTGGTGAGGCGAGCAGACATCCAGACTCCTTTTAGTGTTTTTAATGAAGCTGCAGGGGGGCGGGCGGTGTTTTCTTCATTACAGATTTCTGTTGTTTCTGCTTATTTTGTCATTGAAGTGTTTCATGTCAGGGAACAAATCTTGAGATGAACCAAAGATTAAAAAAAGATTGCCCTTATTTGAAAAAGTAAAGTAAGAAAGCTGGCCACACCCACCCATCATCTGCTCAGGCGCTTGGAGTAGAGTCACTGCTCCTCTAGCAACAGCTCCCTCTGGCATGTTAAAGTTGGTTCTATTCCAAGTTCGTTTGTGACATCACAAATGGGGACTTTTTGAAATGGCTTGTTTTAGGCACATAATTCCTAAAACCAAACACTTAAGAAAATGGATGAATGGCGTCTTTATAGAGGCAGTACAAACCCATATGGCAGCACAGAAAGAAGCAATAAGTGAGTTTTGTATAATATGTTCCCTCTAAACCACATATGTCAGACACAAGGCCCGCAGGCCAGATGCGGCCCGCAGAGCATTTTTATGTGGCCCGCGAGATAAATATCAAAAATATATTAAAACTGGCCCGGTGGCCGATTTTACCGCAAATACTTCAACTCCCATGATGCTTTGCGGCGTTAGCGCGGAGCCGACGCGCCCCCTCCTTTGTGTTTTTTCCAGCGTCTGCTGCCGGTGTCTGCAGCTCCGCTGTCTCGGACAAACTAAACACTCCTCTCACTCAGCGCCGAGTTCACTCAGCTATTTTCTGACGTTGAAGCCCAGAAATGGAGATTCTAGCCGCTCAGTAATGTGTTCACAACTGAAAGAGAAAGTTTTCCAACTAACGTCCAGACAGAGCTGATATAACTTCAGCGAGCAGTGACACGCTCAAACCAGCATGACTCTGTGGTTGCTGTCGTTGTTTTCCTCTCCGACACACAACAACGTGGTCAAGCTGCTCAGACATGTTCAGCAGCACAAACCTATGTGAGCACCTGTTGTCATCTAATGTTGTCATTATTATGATGAAGATGAACAAAACAACAGGAGTCTCCTCCTCAGCTCAGGTCAACCCCATGATGCAGGTATCTGGCTGGAAAAGGTGAGCATCACAGTAAACCAGTGGAGCAAACAGCTTTAAATATTTAGGTTTTATGCTCTTTTTCTGCTCCAAAACAAGAAAGTTAACAGGTGAGATGTTGCATTTTCATTTAAGGTAAAATGATATTTTTATTTTGTTGTTGGCACACGAGAAAAGATTTAACCTACAGTAAGCAGGAAGTGGAAAGGCTGCAGATAGATGAATAGAATAGAAAATCCCTTTATTGTTCCTCAGTGGGGAAAGCTAGACGTCACAGCAGCGATGACATGTATTACAGGAGAAAAAAAGGAGAATAAAAAATAAGAAAAATGAATAAACAACAAGAAAACATAAATCCTGAATAGATTTTAAAAATGCTGATTATACCAAAAGTAATGAATACCACTGATGCCTTTTATTTAAAACTGACTTGCTCGTGTGTAATTTGGTTATTCCACATTCAGTGTTAATGCAGAAATAAGTTTGTTTCCAAACTAAAAGGTTCAAAATTGCATATATGTTGATAAAGAAAATGTGCAAATTTGCCGTCACTTTTTCAAAAAATATTAAGTTTGGCCCTCGACTCCGTCCCAGAGTTTCATGTCGGCCCCGTGTGAGTTTGAGTTTGACACCCCTGCTCTAAGCCATCATTTTCTGGTTAACCTTGATGCTGAGATATTTTTGCTGCTCTGAAACATCAAATGTGACAAAAATGCAGAAACAAGATATCTGTAAGGGGGCAAATACGTTTTCACAGCACCGTATAATAATGAATGAGTTTTTTACACAATGTGCATTAGATTTCTCTTATATCTTTATTAATAATGTCATAACCCCTTAAGATCCTTATTGTGAAAGCTACATTTTTCTTGCTTGTAATAAGACAAACATGCAGCCTCCTTGTCTGTCTCAGGGGAGGTGCACCATCTCCTGGGGCTGTACTACAGCTCTGTGTGCAGGAGCAGCCTCACTCAGCGCCCTGATGTCAGCCTCTACTCCTTCATCTACTCACAGGTCGGCTCCTACGAGGCGCCGGACGAGTCCAACTGAGGTTCGGCCAGACAACACACCACCCCCTCATGGTGCCATGTGGCTGATGAGTCACACTGCTTCATCATAAGACAATAAAATATTTGGTTATTGAAAATGTCCTCACAATGCCTTTGGATTTTTTAATTTATCTTTTTGTCAAGATTCAACTGTGGATGCAAAAAAAATGTTATCTTGACCTCTGACATCTGAACATACACATGTTTTGTTTCAAACAGCAGCTGAACTGTAGCAGGCAGTTAGTTATGACCCTGTCTGGTGCTCTGTTTGTGGGTAAAAAGGCAATAGACTGAGCTCCAGTGTGACGCAATTGTCATTTTAATGGTGAAGCAAAGGTTGCCATCCATCTTCACAGTTTGTCATGTTGCCTGTTTTTATCCCCGTACTTATTCAGCCTGATTGAATTAGCTGTCAGAAATAAAGTTTAAGGAAACGAGCAACAAGAGTTGTGTTTGGAAAGTGCTGTGAGTTCCCAGAAAGGCGTTAGATTAAAAGAGCAGACTGTTTAGTTTATTTACAAAACATTTTCAAACTGAACATTTATGTAATCGCACTTGAATGTGATTAATTTGCTTTGATTTTCCACTTAGCCACTGATCTAAATGTTTTTTACTATTTTTCATTGTTATCCTACATAAAAATGGAAATATTGCTTGATCAATGATGGGGTTTGAAATGAAATTTGTTTTATTTTCAATAAATGGAATGGTCTTGATTTTAATACTGTGTATGTCTTACTGAACATTGTTTAACTCGGCCATAAACGTCTCAAACATGTTTCTGAATGATGGCTTCATGTTCTATAAAAACTGCTAAATCAGTTTCTCCTACATGCATCTTTTCTCAGCTACCCTTTTACTTGGAAGTTTAATAAGGTCGCATCTTTGATCCCAACTGTAAATGGCACTGAGGATTGTATCAGCCAGCCAGATGTGGGAGTTGGGCTCTGGTGTAATACTTTGGCCTGTTATCAAATATAGATGTTTATTCCTCTCAGTCGATCAACTCACATCCTGACTGACCAGTTCTCTGTTTCTTCTTTCTTTAGTCAGTAGAAATTCAACAAAACTTATTCGGCTGAGCCTAAAACTGAGCAGACCTCTGGGTTCATGTGAATAAATGAATGGCGGTGTCTGTGGAATCAGGATCTGCAGGATTTCGGGGGGGGGGGGGCATCGCTCTTTGTTGCTTGCTGAGATCAAAAAGCAGTCTGGTGGCAAATCTCCAAAGGGGATCCACCATAGACACAAGCTGGGGTGTCCCACGGGACTGATCCCTCCACAGTCAGTGTTTTTGACCTTTAGGCCTGTCCTCCAGTCATGAACACTGTGTTTTGTTATACAATTAGGTTTATAAACCAGCTTACAGGATCATCAGACCTCTTTGCTTGGCTCTCCAAGCACCATGTGACTGATGTTTCCTGCAGAAGAGAATAATTTGCTTTAGCATGCATTTTTCTGTGAACAAAAGGCCTTTAAGAATCTAAAACAGCATATTAGACCTAAAAGTCATTTTCTGAACAGAAAAGCTTTGCTTCCACCCAAAAGGTTTTCTCTGTTGATGTAGGGTACTTTATTATGAAGAGGGAGGCCTAATTGAATTATTTAAAGGGCTTTTACTTCATGTTTCTTTATTATTTTGATCATTAGTGGAAAACTCCCGGTAGTGTTTCATAGTGGAGTTTCACAAGGTTCTTTTGGCTTCACATTAAAGGTATGAACGTCTGAATATTGATACGCTACCCTGGAACATGTGGCTTGTTTTTGGGTTGAAAACAAGACAAAAATAAGACGTGACCTTTCTTTCCTGGTTGATTTTGATTCATTCCTCTGCTTCTTCCCGTTCGTGGAAAAACATCCACGAGCAACATAAACCAAGTGCACCTGAGGTATGAGATTACTCGTGGGATGTTGCTTACATGGTTCCAAACCTTTGAGATCAATCATGGATTGTTATATTTTCAGCACAATTTTAACACGTAGAAATGATGTTTTATTGCAAAAGCACACAGGGACAATTTAGAGAGGCCAATCCACCTACCAGTCACATTTTTTGACTATGGGATGAAATCCGAGTGCCTGCAGAGAATTTATATGTGCACAGGGAACGTGCAGGCTCCATGCAAGAGAACGCCAGGCTGGGATTTGAACCTGGGACCTTCTTGCTGCAAGGCAACAGGACTAACCAGTGTTCATCTGCCCCTTTAGTAATTATGTCCATTAATTGTGTGTTCGAGGTGCTTGATGTGTCTTCATTGTCACAATGAATCACCTTTTTAATCAAACATAAATCAGAAATGCTATTTTGTTGCAATATAAGCAAAAAATAAATAACACACACACACACACAATGTCCTCTTCAGCCTCTTAAGCCTTAATTCAAAATTTCTTCACCTTTCTGAGATTAAATACATCATTTAGTTGAACATTTCTCCCAGCCATCATTACACATATTAAATCATCAGAACATTTGAACAGTCCTGACAGAAGTGTGCTTTGTCTTGTCACATTTTCCTGATAATTCAAATTTGACATTAAGATTCCTGATCTGTGGCTGCATTTAGATTTAAACTTTGCATAACCTAAATATTTCCCCACTTCCTCCGTGTCCTGATTCATCAGCAACATCATGTTTGACGCAAACTGTGTCTCTCCTCCAGCTCTACACATGCTGACATGTTTCCTCCTCCAAAACGCAGTATCCTAACTGCTCCAGAAACCTGCTTGCATCATCCTTTATTCTGGGCTAAATAACCTGCAGTCTAAAATTCCCATTAAAGATTTGGCCGTGCTAAAGGAAGTGGAAGCAATGCATAAATCCACGACAAGAGCAATCATTTATTAGGGACAGCTTTCTGAGGCCGTTTTAGTTTAAATGTTTCCACTGCAATTGATCCAAAAGAAAAATCCATTTTATATGAAAGCTGTACCTTTTAACCAACTGCTGGCTTTGTAAGGTCAAGGATTGAGTAAGTGAGGGGATTTTTTGCCCCTGTTATATAATTGCCTATCTGTCACTGCAGTGTCATTTGATTGATACTGACTCAGCTTGAATGAAAGATGAAGCAAGGCCATCTCCACCAGCACATAGGAGTAGTGTAGTCCGACTACCAAGGCGGGTTGTTGGAAAACGTTCCTGTTAAAAGGATTACAAAAACAGGTCAAAGGTCAAAAGTCAAAAATTCCATAATAACTTGAAGCTCTAAATAGTGGCCGAGCCCTAAAAATGAGTAAAACATGCCCGCAAAGCAGTGCACTTGACAGGATATTGCAAACTGTTTAATGTTAGATGTTTTAGTTACTTATGAGGAAGAGTTTGAGTTTCTGATTCTGATTTCTCAGAAGTAAGTCAAAAATAGAATGAATTCAATTCAATTCAATTTTATTTATATAGTGCCAAATCACGACAAGAGTCATCTCAAGGCACTTCACATAATAAACAGTGGGACGAAGGTTGATCTTTAAAGATGCAATAAAGAAGAATTTTACAGTGAAATAGACACAAAATACTCATTTTAATGCGTGTTTGAAAGCAAACTGTTGCCCTAAATAGACTCATGTTTTTTTATGCATGTAAACATGTTAGTCTTGCTGAAGGTAAACTGGTTCTAATCGTGCTGAAGCACCCAGACAATGCGATAGGAATCTGCATGGCTCAGTTGACCTGATTCCGGTAACTTCCGGAAGTGACAAGACCATGGAAGCAGCCTTCTGATAATATAAAAGTAACACACGAAACACCATCAAACAGAACAGCACATACAAAATAAGTTGTGCTGCAGCCTTGTTGTTGTCCATTCCTTCCACCATTGTGCATATCCTGTTTTAACTTTGCCTGCTTCATTCCCACCAGCATTTGCTTACTATTTGTGTTGCTATCCACCTTATTTTTCATGTTTCTTATGGAGAAACGATGATGATAGCAACATCTGATGAAATACCGGAACTAGCGCACACTCATCGGCTTGCATGGTGGGGTTCTTTTTCTAACTTCGTTCGGTGTTTCACTATGGAAATCGCCCTGGCGTGACCAACTACGGAAGCTCCAATGACATCACGTCTGTCCCTGGTTGTGCCATGCCCAGGCTCCGCCCACCCAGTATATACACGGCCAACCAACCCCTCCTACTCATTTTCGCTTTCTTCCCGTGAGAAACTACACTTAGCTCCCTCAGCGATTTTCAGGCTATCTTTGGTTAGTTGCTTAACTGTTCCCAGGCGTACCGCCAGGATACATCGCCAAACGCAGTCCCAGCGCAGTCTGGATTTGAGCTGAGTAAGTGCTTCTAAATCACTTGTCACACTTTACTAGGAACAGTCAACGCATCACAGCGAACTGCTCCTACGGCTACTCGGTTGTCATTGACGGAGTAGTATTAGCGAGTGTGGCTCAAGCTAACACGTTGAGGTGAGCTTGTCATGTGCTTATTTAGCATGTATTTGCTAATTCTCTACTTTGTTGCAGCTAACGTTTCACGACGAGTTGCCCTACATATCAAATATAGCTTTAGTTGCAGACTTACACCTGCTAACTAGCTTGCTAATGCTTTTTCAGGCTAACGTGTCACGACGAGTCAGATTGTCAGCTATGGCTTCCACCCCTAACCCGACGGGCGGGTCGGAACCAAAGGCTAAAGAGGCTGCATCCCTCCTGTGCCCGACGTCATGTGGGGCTTCTATTTCAGGCAGGGACCCTCATCCTATGTGCATAGCTTGCATGGGTGCTGCTCATGCCCGGAATCGCTGGCTAACCCGCAGACATGCCCTCACTGCTCCTCCATGCCGGAGAAGATAAGGGAAAGGAGGCTAAGAGTGGCAGTGGCTATTGGCCGGGACCCAGGCCGCGGCTCGGGCACGCCTGTAGATACAGGTGACAACCATCAGCCACGAGCCTCCACAAGCTGGGCAGATACGATGGAAGAGGAGCCCCCGCTACCACCTCTGTTTGAGGGGCTGGTGGACAGCGGGCTGCTTGATGTAGGTGATGACGAGGCTGGATGTGATGCGAACTCAGACCTCCTCGACTTGGACATGGAAGAGGAGGAAGAGGATTCCACCTTCCCTGCTCAACACTCTAGGCCAGCGGTTCCCAAACTTATTTAGCCGTGCACCCCCTTCTATGTCCTGACCAGCACCCCCCAGCCCCACATCAGGGCATGGCTATATATATATATATATATATATATATATATATACTGTATATATAATCAGACGTCACGCTAAACCAGGGTTCAGCAACCTGTTTCCATCAAAGAGCCATTATTACCCGTTTCCCACAGTAAAGAAAACACCGCAGCAGCCGCGGTGTTGTGGGCGGGGCCTACCCTCAGACAGCAGAGTGCTGCTCACAACAGGTGACAGCAGCCGGTACCGGTCGCTCGTGTACGTCAAAGCTATCTTTCATAAGAAGATAATCAATAAAACGATTTATATAAAGTGGATCCAGAAGTTGTAGCCCGTCTCTGCCTACAATATTTAGATATTTTTCACCCTGTTGGTGGTTTTACTGAGCAGGTGCCACTTTTGTCATACGTTTCTTTTCAAAACATGTTTAGACTGATCAGAATACAAATCCAGGCTCTGTCACATTTGATTGTTGTAATTAAACTTTGTAGGTGGGGAAGGTCAGAAAAGGATCAGATCATTTTGTTTTTCCCTCATTTACAGCGACGGAGATAACGGAGCAATGCGCCTGGCTCCGGTGTTAATCAAGTTAAATTTGTAA